GTTTATAAGGCTGAACGTGACATGAAATGCCATCCGCCTACAGAGATTTCTCACCAGACTGCTGTTGTGTTTGCGATAAGGAGGGACAAGGCTGAATCCAGCTTCTTTTTTGCAGCTTCTTATTGACTCTATTCGGTCCACCCTAAAAACCACGAGGCTTCCGTTTTTTCGCTTTTTATTCACGCTCAAGAGAACACACTGAGGAAGGGCTTATTATTTGGTTCTGGCGCCATCTTGAGGATAGACTACATCAACCCTCTTTGGCTGCTGACGAGCTCTCAGAAATTGTAAATATTTTAAAATAGGCACTATTCTTACAAATAAACTGCATAGTTGCAATCTAAACAACTACATTTTCGACTAAAAAAGTCTCAAAAGAACATTTTGTTGTCTAACAACAGTAATATTTATCAAACTAGCATCTCTGCTTGTTGCTTGCTGTATGTGGGCGGTATAATACACAGAGGTGAAGGGTGAAGAGGCCTTTGTGTGATGCTACTGGCAAAAAAAAGAACTAGACAGAACTGTCGTATGTGTATATGTATGTGTATATATACACACACACACACACACATATATATATGCTAGGCAGTGGTACAGTAGGTAGTGCTGTCGCCTCACAGCAAGAAGGTCGCTGGGTTGCTGGTTCGAACTTCGGCTCAGAATGTGTGTGTGTGTATGTATGTAGAATTATTACACCCCCCCCCCCCCCCTCTTGAATTTTATTTCTCTTTTTTAAATATTTCACAAATTATGTTTAACAGAGCAAGGAAATTTTTATAGTATATCTGATGATATTTTTTCTTCTGGAGAAAGTCTTATTTGTTTTATTTCAGCTAGAATAAAAGCAGTTTTTAATGTTTTAAACACCATTTTAAGAACAAAATATTAGCCCCTTGAGGTTTTTTTTTCAATAGTCTACAGAACAAACCATCGTAATACAATAATTTGTCTAATTACCTAACCTGCCCAGTTAACCTAGTCAAGCCTTTACATGTCCCTTTAAGCTGTATAGAAGTGTCTTGAAAAATATCTAGTAAAATATTATGTACTGTCATCATGGCAAAGTTAAAATAAATCAGTTATTAGAAATTAGTTATTAAAACTATTATATCTAGAAATGTAAAAAAAAATCTCTCCCTTAAAAAGAAATTGGAAGGAAAAAAAAAAATAAAATAAACAGGGGGGCTAATAATTCCTACTTCAACCGTGCATCTCAACATCCCAGTCTTCGGGGATCTTTCAGAAGTCGTTCTAGTATGAGAATTCATACTGACATCCCGGGTGAAATTGAAGCGCATGAGCTTGTGTGTGCCACTTGGAAAAAGTTCTAGTCCTGAAGTGGATACACAGCTATTATCAGCACTAATTCAACAAAAGAAAATACACAGTCTCTTTAGATCAGGTGCCCATGATCCATCTGTGCTGCTGCAAAAGCTGGATAAAATAGCAAATCTTCACCTTATCAAAGAAATAACATCTCTTCGAGGGCCTGTGTGTGTAAGCGACCACACGAAAGACTAATATATGGTCAGATTGACTGATAAACGTTTCTGTGCGGTCTGGCCTAAAAAGCATGCCCCTATCTCCCCTTACAAATGTCCAATTAAAACAGCACATTAAATGAACTACAGCAGCCGGTCTGGTCCTGCCAGAGTAGAGGTGAACAACAGGACATTCATTATTTTTTCATTAGTCTAAGACTCACCATTTGCTATTAAATTGAAGATCAAACAAAAAAAACAACATGTTGACAGTTAAGAGAAAACTAGATGCAGATCAGGAAATTACCTGCAACTGAAAACACATGTGTATTACACACAAGCTGATGCATATCGTGGGAAATGAAGCAACTGCTCAATGGTTTTCCCAGGTCTTTATTCAATAACAGTGGCTATAAAATGTGCATTTCAGATGTTCAGGTTTGATTCTGTCACTGTAATGGAATTTATTTGTATAAATTAGGAACTGTCTTTCCACGGAACATGTCTGAAATAGTTCTTAAGACGAATAACAAGTTGTTAAAGCCAAACCACTAAAGGAAGTAAACTGATGGAAAGAACCAATCAGTCTTAAACTGACTTTTACTTCTGTGATATGGAGAGTGGTTGTCTAATAATGACGCATTAAAAAAAAAAAATAAATGAAAAAATTTGACCCTGAGTCATGTTTGTTTAGTCCCTCAGATGACAGGTCATAAAAAGTTGAAGATGTATTGCTCAAGATGAACAATCAACATGTCTATACACATTATGACTTTTTACAGCTATGGACTTATTGAAGAAAACATGCCTGCAATCTTCCCTTTTACAAACCCGATAGCTCTAGAAGGGCTGTCTAAAAATAACTGTTCTGTCATCATTTACTCCGCCTCACGTTGCCCCAAAACCTGTCTTTCTTCTGCAGAGCACAAAAGAAGATATTTGAAGAACGTCAAACAATGCTGGCCCTTTAATGTAAATCATGACAGAACTTTTTATTTGTGAGGAACAATTCCTTTAACACACGTATCATTCTTTATCAAAAGTATTACATAAAATTATTAACAGTAATCGTTAAAGACATTTAGATCACATCAGAAAATGATGTTGGATAATTTGGGATTGTGTTGTAATTTTCTATATTCTAAGTCATTTTAGCAGCAGTATATGCACATAAAACATATGATTTATGGAATGTCCAAAATCTATTGATTTTCTACATAGAAAAATAATATATAATTTAACAATCACTTTACAATCAACCTGTGACGTTCTCCCTAAATGCTACTTTGAATATTCGGTCTGAAATAACATGCAAGTATAGCTTAGTGAGTGTAATTCCTGCACCCTGCCTGCCAACCACTAAGCATACAGTAGCGGTTATAGGACTAAGCATGTGAGCGAGATAGATCAGCGATTCTTGCTAGCATGAAATATTGCACATTAGCAAATTTTGCTTGCTACACAACTGAAAGCATGCTAGATATAACAGTTTTTCGGTCAGAATTGCAGTATTATAAAGTACTAAAAAGTTTTCTAACTGGCGAATGACATGATCTAGTGGGTCTCTGTCATCTTTAATCTGCTGGTTTATGTTTTCAGGAGCCGTGGCTTTGGACGGCAGGGACTGTATTATGCTAACTGGTTAGCATTTTGTCAGATCACCTACTGCACCTTCAATATGAGCACAAAATCAGTCATAAGATTTTTGCATTACATGAAAACTGAATAAAATAAGCTTTCCATTGATGTGTGATTTGTTAGGACAGGAATATTTTTGGGTGAAATGCCACTATGTAAAAAGAATACATCATTTATATTACGGTAGGAAATGTACAAAATATCTACATTAAACATGATCTTTTGGCATGATTGCCTCATAGCAAGAAGGTCGCTGGTTCGAGCCACAGCTGGGTTAGTTGGCATTTCTGTGTGGAGTTTGGCTTGCTCTCCCTGTGTCGGCGTGGATTTTCTCCGGTTTCCCCCACAGTCCAAAGAAATGTGGTATAGGTGAATTTAATAAGCTAAATTGGCTGTAGTGTATGTGTTTGCATGCAGGAGTGTATGGGTTTTTCCTATTGGGTTGCAGTTGGAAGAGCATCGGCTGAGTAAAACATAGTTGGCGATTAATTCCGCTGCGGTGACACCTGATTAATAAAGAGACCAAAAGAAAAAGAATGAATGAAAGAACTTGCTCTTTACTTAACATTCTCCTTTTTGGCATTAAATAAAAAGGTCTAATTTTGACAATGTATTTTAGTCGATTGCAACATAAGACGGGTTTTGTGGTCCAGGGTCACATACTTTTTCTCAACCACATTTAAATTGATAAATGTAAAATAATGTTTAAAAGAAAAACCATGAAAACAATTCCTTACTTCAAAACATTTATAAACATTTATTCTCACAGTTTAGTCTGCTTCAGCTTCCCCCAAATCATCATCAGTCATGCAACAGTTTTATTCAAGCCGTACGTCTTTCACAATCAACTGACTTGCTAAGACATGATCTGGTCCTGTGTATTTTTGCAACAGAACGTAGAAAACAAAACCGATGAAGCATGAAGTCACACACACAAGAGAGAGAGAACCACATTCCTCATAGTTTAAACAGGAAGTACGGCTCCTCATGTCAGCCAGTAAATGTTTATTTATATTTACTACTACGTTTCTAATGGATAAATAAACATGTATTTTCCGGTCTTCAAAAAATGCTTTACTTTCCATAAATAAAAAAATAATAAATACGTTTACTTTGTGGATAAATATATAGATAGTTGAAATCATAATTATTAGCCCTCCACGCTCTTTTGCAAATATTTCCAAGAGCTATTTAAAGGAGAGATGTGTTTCAATATATCTTAAAATATGATAGTTTTAACAACTTATTTCTAATAACTAACTTATTAGAATGTCTTTGACATGGTGACAGAACAGTATTTTTCAAGTGATTTTGCAAGATACTAGTATTCAGGTTAAAGTGCAATTTTAAGACTTAATAAGGTTAATTGGGCAAGTTAGGGTAATTATGCAAGTCATTGTAAAACAATGGTTTGTTCTGTAGACTATCAGAAATAAATGATTGCTTAAGGCACTAATATTATTGACCTTAAAATGGTTTAAAAACAATAAAAACTGCTTTTATTCTCGCCGAAATAAAACAAATTGAACTTTCTTCATAAGACAAAATATTATAGGAAATACTGAGAAAAATTTCTTGCCCTTTTAAGCATCATTTGTGAAATATTTGGAAAAGAAAATCACAGAAGAGCTAATAATTTTGACTTTATCTACATACACACACACACACACACACACACCACCCAGCTTTATCATCCACAGGTTTAGACTCATCCTTTCAGGTTTCTAGTGACCTGCTCTTTCAGCATTCACTTTTTCATTACAGGAGAGAGCAATCACTCTATAATCTCTCCCACAAACACAGAGAGCTTTTGGAGATCAGGAGCCGCTGCATCCTGGAACTGCTCTGCAAATGTCCATCAGATCCTCCTCTATCTCCTCAGTCTGCAGGTGGACTCGAATGGTACAGGACAGGGTGAATGCTGTGCACCTTCTCCCTGATGGGTTTGGATTTTGCAGCTTTACAGATCTTGTCCCAGAGCAGACGGGGCACCGGAGGGCTGAGGATGATGAACACCCAGGGGTCGATGATGGGGTTGGCCGAGAGGAAAAGAAGGGGGATGACATTGTTTCTGTGACGATCTCGGTGGTAGAGAGTATTGTGGTAAACTTGAATCTATGGAGACAAGAATTCAGTATGTTAGTTGTGCATAAACAGTAAGTCAAAAGATGTACATTTATCTAAAAACTACTCAATGTATGAGTAAAAAGTACCCCTTTTAAAAAAAGTACCAGAGTAGTAAGTGCGCAACATGATTTTGCCAAGTATTGTAAGAATTTTTGTTGAAAAATATAATCCATACCTATTCCCTACCCCTAAACCCAACCATAACTGTAAATTATTCCCAAAATCAGAGGGGAATGATGTTCTGTTTGACATCATCTGGCAATTTTGCTGAGCACACCAATACTCTGATTTAATATGACTAAGACCAGTGGTTCTCATAGTAGGGGTCAGGACCCCCTGGGGGGTCGCGAGACAATTAGGCCGTACTCACACTATGTACAGTTGCCTTGAACTGGACCAAAGCACCCCCCTCCCGTCTTCCCCGACGGCCTCATATTACATTCGGGCCTGGGCACGCTTATGTCATTGACGCTGCGTTGTTCAGTAAACGCTCTCGTTCAGCACAGTGGAGATTTCTTTAGTTATATCGTTTTAGTCGTATGCAGTGAAACGCTTTCAAATATTTTGTCGAACAGATCAGCCACTTTTGAGGCTCCTAAACAGTCAAAGACCTTGAGCTGCAGGAATTAGGAGGTTTGCTGATCGCGCAGCTGTCGTGCAGTGAGGGGTTTGCATCTTTAATAAACTATATCAGTATGCGTTCACTGAACAATAAGAATGATTATAAAATTTATATTAAACAGTCCCTTAAAAGTCAGAGAGAGGGGGTTCGCTTGATGATTTCCAAAAATCTCATACATTTTAATAAACTATTACTATCATACTAAATCAGATTTATCCATAACCTGCAGAATATTTAAATAGTTTTTAACTTATAATACATTCAATATAGTTAATATTTAATAGTTACATTAAAAAAAAAACATGCAAATAAAAAGTCATCAGCCTTTCAATTTTTTTTTTTCCCCATTGGATTGCGACCCCTGGGGTTATTATGCTAGATTAACATTACAGCAATAGCAATAGTTGCAGCAGATTGTTTTTTTGGTACAATGTTAAACATTGACACCTTTATGGCGCTCATATACTGTACATTAAAAAAAGAGGCCACGACAGAACAAGGAGGACAATCTCCAAGTGGCTCCAAGTCTCCAAAATTAAACCAAGAATAGTCTTGTGCTGTAAACATTGTGCTCACCATTCTCCTTGAGTGAAATTAATAGTAAAATAGTAAATAAAAATAGACTGTTGCACTTTTTGTGTCTTCAATAAGCTTGTTTATATAGTTCCTATTGGTGTGTGTGCACCATTGTGTGCAATATTTGTATGCTTATAACCACCTCCGAGTATAGAGGGGGTTGCGAGTCACTGGTGTTGCTATTGTAGGGTTGCGTGGTGAAAATTTTGAGAACCCCTGATTAAGACAATACTCTGATTAAGAGTCTACCATATAAACAGTGATTTTGGGTTACCTTAAAGGACCAAAGACACCTGTGTCACAAAATGTGGAGGTTTTTTCTTTCCATTACATGTGCTGTATCAAATTTCACAAAGACAACACTCTTCCACCAGTCCTTACTTCATATTTGCGTCCAATACCTCAGTTTGTCACAGGACATTAACTGCAGTTTGGCAGTTTCACTTTATTCAGCAACATATTGTTAAAGTCGAACAATGAAAAAGCAGAAATGAAAGTGAAACTGCGGAGGATATGTGGATTGTGGATATGTGTTAATCGAATTATGTGCTGTAACATGTAAAATGGGATCATAAAAGGAACCCTCGTGCGGCTCATGTAAACACCTTAATCATATTATTGTCGTATTCAGATTAAGGCAAATAATTTGTTTACTGAATGTAGTCACAAGCCCCAACCCTAGAAAAAAAGGTGATCCCTGATTTTGATGACAGCCTTTCCACAGGTAAACTAATGTAATGTTAATTCCATAATGCAAATCTTAAATTCATGCTAACAAACAAATGATCAAAAGAAATATATTATTGCAAATATATAAAACATGAATTGATGTACACTTTAAACTTGAATTTTATTGTTCAATTAAAATGATTAAAATATATTTTTTTTGTCAAATAAATATTTTTCTAGAGTCATCCACCACACTTTTGTGGCTCAAAAGTATTAGTTCAGGTTTGACACGGTACCATTTTAAAAGTATGGATTTAGCACCGGTATCGAATAAACCCCAAACCATACCCAACCTTAGAAATTACTGTGATTGGCCGTGAAGGTGATCAGTTCATCAGTCTTTGCCACTGTTCACCGAGTGCAAACACAGATGTGGACACTGGGGTGTTTCAAAGTTGCGTCAATCAGCTGGTCTGTCGATGAGCTGACATATGAGCAATTCACTGATGAATCAACTGATCTAAACGGCTTTGAATTGCTTCAGTGTCTGTCTCTGTGTTTGCACTTGGTGAACATCGGTGAAGACTGGTGAACTGGTCACCTTTACGGACAGTCTTTTGAACATGTGAACACATTGGCAATTCAGCAGTGTTTAAGTACGCATACTGTAGTGGGGGCCATATGCCTTGGGGACCTAGACCACAGTGATCACAGGCCCAATAGCATGCTAGTGGTGGTAAATCGCAACTTAAAATAAGTTTTCAGGAAAGTATGAACACTTGGACATTGAAATAAAGTGTCTAAGTGTCTAAACAGAAGCAGTCAGTCTTTCTCTTTTACATCTCTGCAGGACTGATATAGCTGATGTTATGTTTAGTGTGGTACACTTGTGTTAACTCAGCTGCTGTACCCTAGAGGCGAGAAGAAAATACGAATTAACCTAACTTTAAAGGGTGGTATTGATAACAGATTTTGGCTAAAATATTTGTCATTATTTGCAGTAACAGCTATTCAAACATGAAACAGCACACACACAAACTAGATACAAACATTAGCTACACTGTAAAAATTATATGAACAATTAAACAGCATTTGTTTTTAGGTCATTTTAACTTACTGAACTAAGTCAATCATGGTCTTAATTTTATTTAGTTTTAAGTCAGTTTAACATAATATAAGTTCAATGAACTCATAATTATTTTGATTTAGCTTTAAGAATTAAGGCAACCAGGATTTTTTTACAGTGTAGTTAAGCTTTCGGCTTAAATATGGAAAAAAAATATGGAAAGTTGTAATTTACTAGTTTATTTTCTTTACATGGGCATTATATTGTGTATTAATGTATTAAATAAAATGTTTCAAGTATTAAATTAATGTTTATGTGCCTGACTTAGCCTTAAAAAACAAATCATAATATTGCATTGGAATGTGATCTACTTACATTGTATTTACAGAATTTTCACAAAATATAATTATTTTTTGACCCAGGGCTCTATTTTGATGATCAAAATAAGTGCAAAAAAGTACAAAGCGTAGGGCGCAAATGCATTAGGGCGTGTCAGAATCCACTTTTGCTCTTTTAAGGATGGAAAAATCTGCTTTGCGCTGTGGCACATGGTCTAACATGGTTGAGCTTATTCTTTTAATGAGTTATAGGTGTGTTTTGAGAATAAACCAGAGTCTCATCTCCTATTCCCTTTAGGAGTCAGTTGCGTCGTGCCATGGCGCATTTGCTATATCCATAGCGGACTTTGTAAGTGGAAAAACCGAGCCTCTTCATTCTTTACTTTCACTTTCAGTCTCGTGGATAGGGAAACTTCTTGTACGCACAGACATCAATATGCCTCTACATAATTAATTTTGTTTAAGCGCAAAGATTTGTTTCAAAACTATTTCTAAATTCAGTTCTAATTAACAGCAAACAAATAAATCAACAATAATAACGAAGTGTGTTCAAAAAAGTTATATCCAAATACACATGCTGTGCCCCATACGGTCCAAAACCAGACATGTGGACAAATCTAAGCTTGTTTTTAATAAAACAAATATACATATGCATATAATAAATAATACTACTACTAATAGTAACATTATACAAAAGCAAATTGTTATGAATAAACTGAAAAAGCCCCTGTGTTAAAGAAGGCATGAAAGATGATTTTTATATTTATGTAGGCTAGAAAATAATAATTTTTGTAATATTTTAATCCTTTAATTCTACTTCATTTGTAAAGATATTTGCGTATTGCTGTACACCCTGTGTGTATTAAGAAATGTTTAAGCGAGGCGCACAACTAACGCGCTTTACGCTGGACTATAGACCTGATTTGATCTGTTCTATTTTGCAGTTTATTTAAGTTCCTCAAAATAGCAACGCGCCAGCAATGCACCTCAACACGCCTCCTATTTTAGACCAGAACGCCTAAGGGCACACATATGAGCGCAAATGCATTTGCTATTTATACAGCGTTGTGCAAAATGTCAAAACAACTCTTGCGCCAAGCTAAAACTAGCAAACAACAATTGCGTCGCGCCATGCACCGGGTGTATGACAGGGCCCCCAGTGTGTGAAAACTAGGCCAAATCTAATTCTGAGATAAAGTTTGATTGTAGCCATTCATTTACCTGTGATTTTAGCTGTTGACATTGTTTTACTCAGTTAATATTAAATACATATTATTATTATTTTCAGACTGTTCTTTATTTTATGTAGAAAACAAATTACAAAACAAAAAAAAAAAAAAACACCAGCTAGATTTTCACAGACTTGGTCACATTTTTAACATTATTAAGCATTTAACCTAAATATTGTTGATAATGATTACACTGTCATTACCATGTCTGCTTCGAGAGAGACTAGGGTAAGCAGAACTGTCTGACTGCTTTGTTTTTTGCAAGCTCTCAATGCTGCTCTCCAGAGGCATGTTGTCCCACAGACCACCATGAGCCACAGAGAACGCTCTCTGCAAAATCGTGCAGTTGGCTTAATAACAATTTCTAACACTCTGCAACCAGGTATTTGCTTCCTCCCACTCTCTGCAGTATTTTTTCAGTCGGTTGCGTTTAAACTCTAAAACTTTAAGACGTGGAGGGTTACCTGTAGAAGCATCTGCCATTACTCTGTCAAGACTTGACAGACTCTGCCTAAAAGACAAACCCTCCTAACTGGACAAAGACCAATCAAACTAACGATTACGTCAAGTATTACCCAATAAAAAGTAGGAAATGAGGCATGTTCAGTAAATGCGTGTGGGAGGATTTGCATGAAAAGCTACTTTTAAAAAATGATAAAAAATCCGTATTGATTCAAAACAGGACACGCAATTTCATTCTCAAATACAGGACGATTCTGTATTTTAGGGGCAGGTGGCAACCCTACATGCAGCACTGATTGAACATACAATTTGTGCATGTATTTGAAAATGTAACATTCTGTAGTGCATTTTGGAGCACAAGAGACCGAACAGACGCAATTATTGGTCATATTTAACAAATACTGCATAAACACCCTTTACTATCTAGCAAGAGGTAATGGCTAGTGTGTAACCCAACACAGAGGTATTTATTTACGACCCGGAAAAGAATGTGCTTGTTTCTTTATGAACAGAGAAAGGCTCCTGCTCTTACAAAGCACATCTTAACATTTATTTCCTTTTTATATAATCAGCTCTAATTGATACAATCATGTATTCTCTCTATGGGTAATCAAGTGTTTCTTGACAGTCTGTTGCTTGTGTATTAATGTTCTATGTAATTAAACTCTTGGGAATTAATGCTTCAACGCTACTACAGTTAAACAAGATAGCAGGCCATGTCTGGTATTTATGCAGTGCTACTTAGAACACTAGTCTAAAGGGAATCTGAATCACAGATCCCATAAGGGATCAATGGTAAATATGTGCAATTTGTTAACAATGAAATATGGGTCAGTATTGTGATAGTGACCTGCAAAGCAATAAGTCCAGTGGTCTAGTGACTAATTTATGGATGAGTTTTGGATGAGATTTGAGTGTTTAAGTCAGTGCACTTGCATGTAATGTAGCCCTAAAAATATGAACGTACTGCGCAGGCCTGGATTGGTTAATTGGGAGGACCGGTGTCGCTAGCTGCTTGCACTCTCAGCAGTCGCACTTTTTTAAATTTATTTATTTGACCATAGCCTCACTCTTTTTATTCATTATTTTGCCGCAGCTCTATACTCATTTTATTCATTTTCTCGCAGCTCTGTAAGCAAAATGCAGCCAGCAGGTTAATGATGATGTAACTGTCATTCAACCCCAAACAGGGGCACCTTAGTGAAAATAAGAATTTGAATAATTAATATTAATGAATATTACACCTGTTCAATGAAGATTAGATGATTCACTACATTAATAAATCTGACAAAACTTGATCAGAAATATAAAAAGGGGAGAAAAAGATTAAGCCATCAATAGAAAGTAATTCTGTGGGGAAAAAAAAGAGTCTCGCCAATAACCATGAAACATATATTTTTTATTTTAACCACACCAGCGTAACAGCGCCGTTGTGGTCAGAATGTTGCGTTACAACCTACAACCTGCGAGGTTCGAACCTCACAGTAATTATTATTATTATTATTATTTTTTTTTTTTTCATTTTTATTGTTAAGATATATGATACTGTTAGGGTTGTTGAACATTTGGAGTTCTAAAGCAGTTTTCTTTTTAAAAAAAAAAAAAAAAAAAACATTATAGTGTCATTGGAAACTGAATTGGAAATGACGTTATTGATAATATAGTTAGTCCTGAACTGAGGTGGCCCAGCCTAAAGCCTGGTTTATACTTCTGCGTCAAGTGACCGGCGTGACCCACGGCGCATGCAACGCGCGTAGCTGTGCATTTATACTTCTGCGCGCTGTCTCTGTTGGTCTGCATTAACACTTCCGAAACACTAGTTGGCAGTGAGGTGTTAATGTTCCTCTGTGTCGAGTTTCTTCGCTGCTTTTTTGCTTTTCCTGAACACTTCCGGGATGGACAAGTTGCTCAAACTCGCTCATTTTGAGGCAGCAACCGATGGACGTGCAGCAACTTTAACTATGACGTAAACACAAAACAAAACTTTCCATCCGGAGCTCCTTCACAGGACTCCACACTTGTAAACAATCGCTACATTGGGTTCGCGCGGCTCTCGGTCCCGCCCAGACTCGTCAGCGATACCAAGCCGACCAATCACAAAGCTTGCGCTACGCGTTGTTGCGACGTGTAGTTACATATTTTGAGAGGTGCACGTCAGTGACGGCCACGGCGAAGGGCTATGCGTCAGCGCCGTAGCATACGCCGGTGTTTGACGCAGAAGTATAAATCAGCCTTAAAGGAGTCCCAATCCAGCCCATACTGTGGTGCTAACAGAGTCTGATCTCTTGTGTTCTTGTATACTTGAGGATTTTTAGTCTTTTAGATAATCATTATGATCTGTCATGCAAGAGATTCAGATCCTAAAATGTAAGAGGCACAGTATATTGCTTCTATAAAGATCCAGATTGTACTGCAAAATAATTATAGAAATTGAAAAGGTCTAAAATATTATTGATCAAATATGAAGTTCTAAGTTGTATTGTATTTTATCTTTATGATACTGCATTTATAATTTGCAATTAATGTTAATGTAATTTGTATTATTTTCTTGTAATTTTGTTTGTATTTTAATGTATTTATTTAAATCACATTTTGCAGATTTTAAATCAAATTTTCAGGGTTTTTTGTATGAATTATTTTTAAATGATTTCATTTGTATACAGTTTGCATTTGTTAGTTTTTATACTGTGTGTTTATCTCAATAAAATTGTGCATTTATTTAAAATATTATTTTAATTGTATTAACCAAAATATTTATCACTTTTTTTTATTTACTTTCTATGCTTATTTATCTTATTTACTCTCATGTGGACCAATGTGAGCTTGACTTTTTATCAGTATTATTTCTCTATTTGTAGTCTGAAAATAAAGTAGCACTATCTTTAGTGAACAGAGAATTAATTTTAATGTAAACTTATCATTCAATAAAAAAACTGAATTGTACATTCAATTAAAAAAACATTATATAAAAATAAATCATACCTACAAACTTTTAGTATTAAGGGCTAAATAATCTAAGTGTTTAATTTGGAGAGCGTTATCCCTGCTGAGAGGAAAACAGAAATCATCAAAGAGCTTAATATGGTTTCCACTACAGTTACACTTTACACTTTAATGGTTTCCATAATGGGTTTGGAGACATAATACATTAGGATGTATTAATTTTTAACATACTACCAATACAACGCAAAAAAAAAGTCAGTATAGAGACCCAAAGGGCCATTAATGTTTAAAACCAATAATAAATATAACTTCCATTACAACCAATACTACAATAGCAATCTATCTATCTATAAAGAGAGCATGAATGTAAAAGTCAAGTGAAAGTTCGAAAGAGACATGAGACAACTCTGCTTATAACTGTCTTACCACAAGAGGAAGAGAGCAAAAGACGAATGCTATTGTCATGAACCACAGCAGCACCAGATGTTCAACCTCCTTGGTCATGGAGCGGTGTCTCTTGTGTCCGCGCTGCCGCCGGACTGAGCTCCGGTGCGCCTTCAGCCTCCTATACATGCGCGAAATGTGATAAATGACGGACGCGTTGCACAAAACAGTACACACTATCATGAGCAGCAAACAAGACGCGTAGATGATATTAAACGCCTTGTGTTCGCTCGCAGACGGGTCCATATCAATGAAGCACCACGTTCCCGGACAGTACTGGACATACTTCCCGAACCCGAGGAAAGGTGTGACGCAGAAGAGCGCGCACAGCAGGTAAATGAGCGCGATGGTGATGTACCCGCACCGTTTACTCGAGTACTTCTCGTAAAAGAAAGGATGGCCAATGGAGAGCCAGCGCTCCACGGCCATGGACAGAAGAATGGCGAGGGTCACCACGCTGAAAAATGTCATCGCGTATGCAAAATGTCCGCAGGCCAGCCGATTTTCATTCATCCCGAGCAGAGACGCGTTCCTGAAGTACGCAGTTAAAACTAGAGGACTGAGGGAGAAAGTTCCCAGCAAATCCGTGATGACTAGAGATGAGACCAGGACGTGGAATAGAGATGCCGGTTGTTTCCTCCGCCGCATTTCCAAGAGGATTAAGGCGACCACATTCCCAAGGACACCGGTGGAAAACATGAACGCGGGTATTGTGGGAGATCCTCCAGAGACGCTGATCTGCTCGCGGCAACTGACGTTCTGTGACGCCATGAAAGTTACTTTATTGTCCAACCCTGGGTTAATTCTGCGCTGGTTGAAGAGATATATATGAGGGAAATTTCATGGTAGAGAAGATCCAAACTTATAGTGAAGGCGAGCTTTTACGCACAGCCCATGACTTTAAAACGAAAGTGAGGTGGGGTTTCAGTCGAGCGCGCTCTGATGTCAACAGCTAATGACTCACTCCAACTAACGCAGTTTGAGTCAAATGGATTCAAAACTCAAGCACTTAATTTAAAACGGTTTACTGAATGTCTTAGTAATGCGTTCTCAGCTTGTATGGTATCAAGCTAAATGAAAAATTAGCCCAAAAAATAGGCCTACATGAAAGTGAAATAAATGTTTTTATTATTAAAATGTTTTTGCAAATATATATATATATATATATATATATATATATATATATATATATATATATATATATATATATATATATATATATATATATATTTTTTTTTTTTTTTTTTTTTTTTTCTTTTTTTCTTAGTCTCTTTATTAGTCAGGGGTCGCCACAGTGGAATGAACTGCCAACTTATCCAGCATATGTTTTACACAGCAGATGCCCTTCCAGCTGCGAACCAACAATGTTTTTTTTTTTTTTTTTTTGCTAATATATATTATGGAAAATATACAATTTTAATATTTAACTATACATTTACCCAACATTTATAAACAGAACTTAAAATGTATGTATATACATGAATTATTTTAGCCAAATGAAGTTTATTACAGTTTTTCTCAAATGCTAAAACACAAAAGCTAATTATCTAAACCACAGTTGTCTAAACACATTTACCAAATCTAGCCATCATTTTGCAATATTATAAACACATTTCACATGAAGACACCATTCACAAAACACAATCCTCCGTTCTCATAAATCTAAACACATTTTTCCTTGCTAAAACACAAGTTGCAAAAGAACTCTGCTCATATAATCAAATGAAAGCTCATGTGATGCAAAATGCTTGACACAGTCAGCAATATTAGAACACAATGAACATACCTGGCATCATTCATTACACAGAACATCTCAAAATTGGAGACACTTGTTGCAAATGCTGTGACCACACGTATAAAAGCAAGGTGAGAGTGCACAGTTTGCTGAAGATTCCAAACAAACACAGTGGATGAAGGCAGAGTCAGGGGAAGAGGAATTCGAGTCAGGAGGGAGAAGAGCTGGCCATGAAAGAAAAGGAGCAGGTCAACAAGCAGGAGGAGTTCAAATTAGAGGAGGAAGAGCAGGAGGCCAAGAAGGGAGAAGGTCCAGGAGGGAGAGCAAGACAACCTTGCGCCATCATTACAGATGAGATGAAAGCAACAGTCATTAACCATGTCATTGTCCATGGCATGACAATGGCTGAAGCAGAACTAAGAGTCCATCCAAAGCTGTGTAGGTTCACCGAGCATGTTCACATTAGTGTACATGCAGTGATTTCTATAGATGTATACTCTAAATATGAAACTTACAAATCTAAATGTTTATTCCCCTGCAAAGATCGGTTTCTAAAAATATGAATTTGCAATATACAGTTATGAAACAAAGAACCTTCTCCCAAATTGAGCATTGTGTTTTCAATTGTTTTGCTGTAGTGTGTAATGATTTGTATAGTGTTTACATTTTTGAAAGCTTCTAGCTGCTCCTTTGGTTTGAAAGATTGAGTTTTGAAGTGAGAAGTTGTGGTTGTGTTTATGTAGCTTTAGAAAAGGATGTTGTGTTTAGACATTGGGGAACATGGAGAAAACGTTTGTGAAATGTGTTTTAGCATGTGAGAAAAACTGTAAAACCAGTTCGTCTATTTAAATTTTTGTTTACCATCTGCATGGCGTCAGGACGCCTCCCAGTGGAGAAGATTCAAGAGACAGGTGGGCTTCTAAAGAGATGATGGTTGCTAAAACATGTCATTTCCCAAAAATTTCAGTAGGAACAGTGGCCAGGGGGTTCGGAAGACCCACCCCTCACTGACTAAGGTCAAGAATTTGTCCCTCACATGAACTTATTTGTCTTATTTTGACTGCTATGCCATCAGGATAAGTGGAAAATAACCCATTATTTAAAACTAAGCAGAATCCTCTGTTGGCTGTCGCCTCGACTTCAGCTAATCAGTTTTAGCCAATGCAAACAATTATTTTTCATGAGTCCATTCAATTCAATTCATCTTTATTTCTAAAGCGCTTTTACAATGTAAATTGTGTCAAAGCAGCTTCATATTTAAGATTATAGTAAATTAAAACTGTGTCAGTTCAGTTTTCAGTGTTGAAGTTCAGTTCAGTTTAGTTCAGTTCAGTGTGGTTTAATATTCACTGCTGAGTGTTTAAACCCTGAAGAGCAGATCCATCGATGCACAGGTCCCTAACCATGCAAGCCAGTGGCAAGAGCAGCGAGGAAAAAACTTCACCAATTGGCGAAAGTTAAGAATAAAAAACCAAGAGAGAAACCAGGCTCAGTTGGGCATGACCATTTCTCACGTCTTGTGCAGAGCTGCAGTCTAGGCGCCGGAGGCTGGAGAGAGCTGGACGATCATCGTGGAGAAGCTGCAGGTGAAAGAGGTCACCGGCTGGTGTACAGGCTGTCTCTTCTGGATTAATGCAAGGACTCTTCTGTCACTGGGGTCTTACAAGGATCAGTCTCATGCTCTCCACTCGTCCATGACCACTACAGCAGCTGCTCAGGTTATGGCCTGGTCCAGGATTCTGAAACCTCGGGAACAATAAAAAACAGACTAACATACTGTGAGCGCAGATGCCGTTCATATTACAATGTCTTTGGGGAAGTGTTCCCGGTTGCCCTAAATAATGCAGACTAACAATCTTTTAGAGGATTTGGAGTTCTACAGCATTTGTGTTTTATGTGTGTGCTAATGCAAAGGAATGTGTCTTTAATCTAGTTTTAAACTAATAGAGTGTGTCTGCTTCTTAAGCTGTGAGTCCAACATCCAGCTGTGCAAGAAATCATACAATCTGATGCATAAGATGAGTCTTCCTTCGCTACTGTATTCTTTTTAATGGAGAAAACATTTTACAAGAAACATTTATTGTAAATCTTAGACCTTATTCTTTAAACAAAAAACGGTGTGAAGCACCAAAAGTGGCCCATATTAAATTTGATTTAAATACTATTTTGGTAAAAATAGGCAAAATCTCTGGTTATGATGACCATCCAACGAGCCAATTCAGAATAGTTGTTATACTTGTTTTAATCTCATTAAAATGCAGTATTTAATTTTCATAATTTAACAGAAAATGATGCGTATAATTGCGAAAAGGTCTATTTTTGGAGAAAAAAGAATCACCCCTTTTACCAGGCTGGCTACAAGCCTGAGAAACATTAGTTATAATCATTAAACTTATCCATTTCATCTTCAGATCAACTGGAGTTCCACAGGGATCAGTGTTAGGATTCTCACTGGTGATTCTCCATGTTCTTTCTAGCATTCACAGATTCTCTAATGAGTATGTGTGTCTGTCTAGTTTAGAGATGCTCAAATTAGGGCCCGCAGGCTAAAGTTGGCGCATTGTAACCTTTGATTTGGCCCACCATTCGATCTAAAAAGGGGGTGAGAATGATGGAAAGGGATGGAGCGAATGCCTTTGACAGAGATCGTCATTTTAACATAACCTTATTTTTTATTTATTTTTTTGTTTTATTGCTGATTTATTGCTGAACTACAAAAAATCCAACTGACATCAAATAATTCAATTAAATGTTGTAAATGAATCAGATTTTTAAAATGTAAATACTGTCTCGACAGATAAAGCACAATGCACAGGTAATCTGCGACCAAATCAAGGTAAAGGTGGAGGAGCAGCTCGAGTGTATTCAGCATTGTACTCCATTGTGTTATAAATGGAATTGCTTATGTCTTTACAGTTATAAGTTCATTAACTCCAAATGTTAAACATGATACTGGGTTAATTTATATGATTTAAAGCAACATTTTCTTTTTTTTTTTTTTAACAGATTTAATGTAATATGGTTTGGTATATGTTCGGCCCACAGCCCTCAATTAAGTTAGGTTTCTGGCCCTTTATAGGAACAAGTTTCGGCACTGTGGTCTAGTTGAATGGTTTGAAACTAAATATTGATAGAAACAAAGCAGCTGTTCATCCTAGGCAAACACCACCTATTGCCAAGACCATGTCATTTCAATAGACAAACTCGACCATCTTCCACTCCGACAGCCAAGAAATTTGACAACGACCTGTTGTTTGCACCTTAAATACCACAGTCAAGACATCCAGATTCTTCCTGCAGAAAATCCAAAAATGTTGGTTGAAACACTGACACACATCACTTCCCGAATATGCTCCCTCCTCGCTGAATGAGCAATGGCTTTCACAATGAGGTCAAACCTTACTTTCCAAAACATTTACTTTCTCTGTTCCTCTTTGGTGGAATAAGCTGCCAACATCTGCCATGCACACAAACTGCTGAAACCATCACATCTTTCACAGCAGAAGAGACACCTCTTTAGTAAGCATTTAACCACCCCACACCCTTAAACCAACGTACTTATGCAAACACAGACACACACACATAATTAAACCAATGCTCTTATGCAAACACAACCACACACAAATCATTCTTGGCATTGTGTGCTTCATGATCTACAGCAGTTTCTCATATTGTATAACATTGTATTAAAAATATTGCTTATGCTCTTCTATTTTGGTTTGGGTATAACTTTTTCACAAAACGCATTATTTTAAAGGGCACCTAATTACCCCTTTTACAAGATGTAAGCTAAGCTTTTGGTGTCTGCAAAGTTTCAGCTCAAAATACCCATCAGATAATTTATTACAGCCTTCAGAATCTGCTCATTTTGGTGTCTGATTGCAGTGTAGCTTGTAGCTTGTGGCTTTAAATGCAAATGAGCTGCTTCTACCCGCCCATCGCTCCCACATGTGTGTTTGCCTCTCATTATGCGTTATGTCAGATAAACAGCAGTCAGTAATGATTACAGACTCTGTATTTGTGGTGGAGTTTATTCAAGTTTTTCTGATATGATGAGTCCCAGACAAAACCTAGTACACATACATATATATGCAACTTTACTAACACCATGTGGCTGTGGTAATAATAGCAGTTAAGAATAATATATACATATTTACTGTCTTTGTTACAAACATGCTCTGTTTTAAAAGCATTTTAATTTTATAAAACTTAAAAAAGTCACAGAAAGTTGTAACAGATATTTTAACCCCAGTTTATTTGCAAAAAATGTTTTGTGGTCATGTGTATGCATAGTAACATGCTGGCTGTGAATCAGTGGGCGGGGAAAACTGCATTTATACGTCACATTGCGGTGGACCTCAAAATCACTGGGATTGGGGTCCTATTCTAATGTCAGGAAATTTCAAAGAGAGTTGTAGGGTTTCTATCACTCCCATATGACTGTGGACACACTATACCTACACACAGTTCTATCCAAACAGCTTATGAAAGTTGATTTTTAGGTCTCTCTTTAAATGTAAAGATTTGTTGTTATTCTAATTGACTTCCATTTTTTTCCAACGTTACCAACATTTTACAAAATATCTTATTTTGTAAAAGTAAGAAAGACATGCATGTGTGGGGTGACAAGAGGGTTAAGCCCAGTTCACGCTACCTGACTTTAAACATTGGCAGATCGTTGTATTGTTAAATTTCTGCCGTGTTCACACTATGTGACACTACGTAATTTATCTACAAGAGGGGAATCACACACTACATGATCTGACAAATACTCATTCGTCAACAGCTCAGTCAAGCTACTAAACCCGTTCAATGAAATTTTGAGGGAGGAGTAGTCAGAAAAAGCTGAACACTAGAGGCTGCTTGCGTGCTGATTACATCACTGACAGTGTTTTAAGCTTTCAAGGGAGCATTTAAAAACATTGTCAGTCAGCTGATGCATCAGCTGATCTATGTATTTCCTTCTAACATTGTCATTTTTTAAATTACAAAACAGTAAAGAACTGTGCATTTCTACCTTTAATTACTTTACACTGTGACTTTAAAACGCTCCCTTGAAAGCTTGAAACTGTCAGTGATGTAATCAGCACACAACCAATAGTGTTCATGTTTTTCTGACGACTCCTTGTTGTCAGATCATCTATTGTGTGACCCCCTTCTTGTGGATCATTTACGTAATGTCACATAGTGTGAACACCACAGGGATTAAAAGACACAAAAGGTGCGTTCGACATGAAGCATGGCTGCAGTCGGTGATTAGCCGAGCACAGGCATGGGTGGAGTTAAAAACGGAGGCTTCAAGCCGGACAATTCGGGCTTAAAGTTGTGGCAGTCATGATGACCAATCACATGGTGTTATTATAATTTTTTTATTTACAACAACAAAAGATTTACAGTACAAATAAAACAGAATACAGTCTCTACAAACTATAGTTCACTTTTAAACAATTATAAATTACATATCAAACGCATGAAAGAAATAAGGGGAAACGAGAGGGTATTAAAAACATAAAAATGAATAGCCCTATTAAATACAAAGCAATAAGCACACATTTTAGGAGTTTAAACATCACTCTAGGCTAATACTTCTTATTTGAATATGCTAAAAATGGGTTTATATTTATTAACATTTATAGAAATAAAACTTTCCAATAGTACTATTAATGTAAAACCCAAAACAAGGTGTTTTTATTAAGTCTTAAACAATGATTAAGATTATTTTGGATAATGAAAGCATTTTCAAAAAAGCACTTTAACCTGTTAAACTCCCCGTCATCGACTTTCGCTTTAAGATTTAAAGGGCTAGCATTGCACTAGACCCCCTTAAGTGGTTTCATTTAAAAATTTTAAATCTATATTTTATGCACATATTTATCACATTTTTTTTTTAATTCTACTGAGCAAAAGTTATTTACACTTAAATACACAGTATTTTGGATACCAGAGGTAGGTATTGAACATTGGCTCATTTTCAAATTTTTCATATGGTTCATATATGACACATGTACAAGTTATAGCTCAAATGAAAGCTTTTGCCGGTGCTCATACAGTTCTAGCATTCATTTTACTCAATTATATTCACATATCAGACAGTTGTCGAATGAATTGTGGTGTTTCCATAGTGCAGAAGTGAAAACAATACATTTATGATCAATAAGCAGCCCCAGACAGCACAGACAGCTCTCATCTCTTACCTTATGCTGTGTGCTTGAGGGCCATTTCTCCTTTGTTTTTGAGGTGATATGCATAAGTAATCCTTTTTTATGCCTGACATAATCCAAACACAGTGAATTATGTTTGATCAAACAAAAGAATAGTGAAATCAAAAGCAAAACAATGATCGGTCCGTGTGGCTTGTAAAACACCTCTCGTCAGTTGGAATACAATAACTTTTGCATAGATTATGGTAGAGACATTTTTCTTTTTTCCTGTGATTACAGACATGTGCAGCAACCACCAAAATTAATTACAGCTACCTAGACCACATGGAACCTAAAAGGTACACTTTTAAATTTGAGTTTATAAAAAAAAGTTTTTAGGTGTTTATTATAACACAGACAACATATAGTTATTTAAAACACTTTCAATAGTGTTCTATGAAAATTCAAAGGGTGTTATTTAAAATGATACCAAATTTTTGCATTTACACCTCTGCATGTGTATTTGGGTATAGCTTTCAAATTTGGGTAGGCAAAATCCAGGCGGAAATCCCAAAATGGCACTGGGGTTTAAGAGGTTAATCCAAAAAGATTGAACAAAATGACAAAGAAGTAGAAGTTTCCCAGAAAGAGCAAGGTACATCAATGTCACTTTAAAAAAATGTCATATAAATAACTTAATAATTATTTAATAAAATTGTTCTTTAACTTAATTTGTTAAGAAACCGTTAGGGTGGCAGGATAAATGATAATAATTATTTTTTTTACAAGTTTGAAGGCCAAATTTGAATTAATATTTAGGTTATTCACTAAAATATAAAACTCAAATCATTCATGGAGCTGAATGCACTAAATAGTCTGTATAAAAACCAGATTATTTATTCATTCAACCCATCTCTAGGAAACATCCACACATACGCACACTCATATACTACGGACAATTTAGCCAACCCAATTCACCTGTATCGCATGTCTTTGGACTGTGGGGGAAACCGGAGCACCCGGAGGAAACCTATGCGAACGCAGGGAGAACATGCAAACTCCACACAAAAACACCAACTGAGGATCGAACCAGCAACTCACCGACCTTCTTGCTGTGAGGCGAACGTGCTACCCACTGCGCCACTGCGTTGCCCTCAGGTTGTTTAGCAAAACAAAAAATATCGCTGCAGTAAAATATTTATAGTCTTTTAGTAAGCATTGTGTTTATAGAGATGTGTAAGAGAGAGATGGCATGAAAAGTGAATTGTTTGTTTTGAAATTGGTGAATCGGAATTTATCTAATAATAAACCCGAAACACACATGGTTGTTGTCATGCGGTGAACTCGGCCAATTGTGTTAGGTGTCGTCATCTCAGCTCCAGCAGTCGCTCTTTCATATGCTGCACTAGCTGAATCAGTTGTCTAATCTAGAAGCACAGTCATGATACTTTGATGCCACATGTGACAGTCACATGGCAGCAGCGCAGCATCAATCCGGACCAAATTTCGAACCAGCATGCACCAATTTAAGACCGATCTTAAAATTCAATCAATCTGCACAGCGCTGCATGAAGTCGAACGCACCTAAAATCAAGTCATGTAGTGTAAACGGCACAGCAATCTGCCGATGTTTAAAGACTTGTAGTGTAAACTAGGCTTAAGTTGTTTTGCTAACTTTTACATTTAACCACAACCCAGTCTAAACCCTGTCAAACTCAACTAACAGAGAGACAGAGTTTGTGAAATGCACATATGATAGTGTCAAATGTCAAAAAAGCATTAAAAACTTTGGTATGTACAGTTTGTTACATGTTTACAGTAGTAAAATGGCGAAAAACGGCAAACTTGTGTTAATTATATTCATCATCTATTCATATTTTTATAATATTCTAAAGTGATCATCATTTACGTCAATATAAATAATTGTGACAGTTATGTTATCTATAAAGCTTTGTTGTTTCATTGCACAAATCCTTTTCTATTCAAAATCGGATCACATCTGTGCACTGGACGCTTTGCATCAGCCTGAAACCCTTCTTTAGACGTTTTGGTAGTTTTGTGGTCTTTGGTTAAGGCATCCTTTCATTTAAGATCACCACATCGTCACATCTCATGAACTTCTTCGGGGACAATTACATTTAAGTCGCACACTGCTCCCTCTCGAAATGAAGAACTGCTGGATTTTAGCTGTACTTTTAACAAATGTTCGTTTTATGAAAGCGATTCAAAAGGAGAGACTTTTCCCTTTTGGAATATCTGAAGGGGATTCAGTTCTTCAGGAAGGTGACGATGAAGTGTCCGCAGCCCTGAAGATAAAAAAGCCATTACAGTTCTACGACATGCAGTTCAACATTCTTTATGTAAGCTACGTGATTTTGCTCTTTGCTATTACATTTAAATGTGTTACGTGTGTGTGTGTGTGTGTGCGTGTGTCTGTGTCTGTGTGGTGGTACTTTTGGTAGCATTAAGTTTTTTGCTTAAGTAAATAAAACCACATGTGCAACCAGACTTAATAAACATATAAAACATGTCAAGTCTACAATATAAAATGCAATTGGCTGTTGTATGGCAGTCATTTAACCTAAAAAAAAAGCATTTAGCATACATTTTTAGTCATAGCACCTTAAAATAACAATTAATCTATGCAAACTAATCCACTAAAATGACTTGATTTGGTCATCTTCATTAAATTCTTGGATGAAATATGATTATCCATGCCCCTCCAACCGATAGTTTACTGTGAGTGAAAGATGAGAGGAAGAGTGCAAAAATAAACCTCCCTCTACCCAGTATTTAACCTTAGTAGGAACCGTCATTATATTGAAATAAAAGTCTGCAGCTTTCGGTTTGGACTTTAAAATGCTGAATATTCACACAGGCACTCTTTGATTAATTCTTTCTTCTACAGGTTTCCACAAATGGCTTTTTATCCCTTCAGCCTCCTCCTGAAGAGAGCCAGTATCTAGGAAGCACCTTTCCTCTGAGTTTCTCTGCCATCGCACCTTTCCTGACAGACTTTAGTTCAGGAAGAGGGAAAGGATCTGTGTTTTACCGTGTAGAGGAGTCAATAAATGTATTAAACCGGGCTTCTGACATGGTTCAGCATGGTTTCACTGGTTCTGCATTCAAGCCCAGCCACACAGTCATCGCCACATGGGACAACATCGAATGTGAAGTGGAAAAGCTCCTTCAGGTCCCATTTACATATTGTGTAATATATTGTTTATCTTGTATTTTGAGGCATTTTAATTCTGATTGGTTATAGAACACTACACTTTTCTTTTCGAAAAAAAAAATAGACTAATTTTGCATGTATGTGGAGTTAAACAATTGAGTTTTACTATTTTGAAACCATTCTGTCAATCGTCTGGTGTGGTGGGATCCAAATTAGACCATTTGCATTTCGATCCCACTTTATAGTCGCTTATACCTGTGAATTTACATGGTAAATAGGTGTGTAAGTAGCATGTAACTACAGTGTATGTACGCACTGGTACATGGTATTTACTTGTGTAATACTGGTGTATCTACACACTTGTAACAACCCACTAAATAGTATGTGTAAGTTCAAATGTGTAACAGGACATAACAACACTAAGAAAGTACACATCTGTATCAAGAATAATTTAAGTGCGTTCTGTAACAACATGTACTTGCAGGTGTTTTCCCTCTCCCACACCTGTTTGCACACCATCTTTTTGTGTACATTGTATGGCAGAAGTAATGCTGCATTAGAAGGTTTCACCTTGTGATTCCAGTGTACTTACATGGGAACTCCACAAGAACTCATTCAGTCATTTTCTTTTCGGCTTAGAACCTTTATTAATCCAGTGTCGCCACAGCGGGATGAACATATTTGATTTTACTCTGCAACATAGTGTTTTACACAAGTACTTTGAGTAAGCTATGCCTTTATTAAAACAAGTTAATTGTTTGCATTATCAAGAAATTTTAGAATCTGAAGAAATAAAAAGAGGGGGGAAATGGCATATATATTTTTGATGAACCCGGTATGCTTTTCTAATGTCATGGATCAGCTGTGCTAAGGCAACTTTACTATTTCACCTTCCCAGCCAGTAGTGCCACTGAATGAATTTTAAATGTTCTCTCAGTTATTTTGTAGTCTTTAATTTGAGACCATTTTACACTTTATATTGAGTGAACAGTTCCTGTGGAGTTACCATGTAGGTACACTGGTATCACATGGTGAAACTATCTAATGCAGCATTAGTTCTACCATACAATGTTCACTAGAAAATGGTATGCAAACAGGTGTGGGAGTGGGAAAACACCTGGAAGTACATATTGTTGTTACGCAATGCACTTACATTGTTCTTGTTACAGATGTGTTCTTTCTTAGTGTTGTTAGCAATGTCCTGTTACACATTTGAACTTCCACATACTATTTAATAGGTTGTTACAAGTGTGTAGTTACACCAGTATTACACAAGTAAATACTATGTAGGTTACCAGTATATATATACACTGTAGTTACGTACTACTGACACACCTAGTTACCATGTAAGTTCACATGTAAAAGCGACTATAAAGTGGGACCCAAATTTCAATATGCAATTGTGCCTGCTGCAGACACACTATAAATAAAAATATTTATTGGATTCACACATTTTCTTTAAGGTAACTGATTGCAAACAATTTATATGAGCTAACTTTAAACAAACAAATTCAGTTTAGTAACGTTCAACTTACTTGTTTGTTTTTAGTGCATGGCACAGCAGCGAAGTATTACGCTGGAATGAGAATATAGTTCCTAGCCAGATAGTTCCTAGAAAGACATCTTTTAGTTTCCATCATTCTTCGTACACAATGAAATTGCTAATTTTAAATAGGAAAATGATCTAAACTTTAAAAAAAAGAAATTGAGCAAGATGCTAATGGTCTAATCTGATTAAATGATTTATGATAAGCTAAGCTAAAAGTGCTCCCGCCAGACTCTGGAGATCAGCTAAAAATGCTAAAACTCAAGTGTTGAACTGGAAACTTGTAAAATGAGCCAAAGTGTTTGAAGTGAACCACTGTTCTGACCTATATGCAGGTGACCAGTTTCCAGGTTGTGTTGGCTGGTAATAAATCAGATACATTTGCCTTGTTCCTGTATCCTGAGGATGAGCAGCAAATGCTAAATATCAGTCACAATTATGCTAACATGTCAAAAGGAGATGTCAAACTGCAGGCTGGTTTTAATAGAGGCGATACATCGACCACAGGAGAGCTGTTTTACAGTCTGCCTGGCTCTAAAGAGAACATCAACCTCTATAGGTCAGTGAAGGATGACCTAATTCTTATCCTTTGCATTTCTGCATTGCAAAATGATTTGTTAATATCTATCCATTTTAATAAGCCTTAAATATTTTAACTATTAAAATGTATTTTTATGTTAATTATTTATTTTCAGAATGGTAGATACATATATTACATATTGTACAATGTAATATGTATTAGAAAACTTAATTGCTTAATGATTGAATGGTCAAGGTAATACAGGAGAGAATGAGTATATAGTGACATTGTGTGGATAAAGAATACAAACTTGGATAGGTCTATTTCATTTGTCAGCATTAGTTATCTACGTGGCATTTCACATGTGCACCTCAACCCAGATTATTATTGCAAAACTCAATAAGTACATACTTTTAGCCCATGGCTAAAATGTTAACGTCATGTTTATTTGCTTATTTTTTAACCTCATTTATTTATTTATTTACAAATTCTGAATTGCATTATAGGACCTTGATCTCTACTTTAACATAGTGACCTTTACTGGCATTTTAGCAGTTTACTATATGGAAATCTTTTTGGGTCATTGTACAGTTGAAATCTGAATTATTAAATCCCCTTCATTTTTTTTTTTACTTTAAATATTTACCTAATAAGGTTTAACAGAGCAAAGAAATTTTCACAGTATGTCTGATATATATATATATATTTATTGTTTTTTCTTCAGGAGAAAGTCTTATTTGTTTTATTTCAGTTTAAAAAATAATAATATTATTATTATATTAGTCAATATTATTAGCTCCTTTAAGCTATATTTTTTCAATAGTCAACATCATTATACAATAACTTGCCTAATCGCCCTAACCTGCCTTATTAACCTAGTTAAGCCTTTAAATCGTCAACTTAGAATTATAAGGTTCTGTCTGGCATTTTTGTCAAAATTGAGTTATTGACATATTTTTATTAAATGACAACTTACTTACATTATTGGATTTTATATACTTGTATATATACGCTTTTTACATTTTAAGAGTTTTTATTTTAAAAAAAGAAATGTCACACACACACTGTTTGCTATGGAATGCAAAAACTTTGAAGCTCAATATCTCAAAATCATTCAGAACGCACATAGAACCTTATAATTCCAAGATGACGAAATGTCATTTTAAGCTATATAGAAGTGTCTTGAAAAATATCTAGTCAGATATTATTTACTGTCATCATGGCAATGATAAAATAAATCAGTTATTAGAAATGAATTTTTAAACTATTATTTTTAGAAATGTGTTGAAAATGTTTTCTCTCCGTTAAACAGAAATTAAGCAAAAAATAAACAGGGAACCGGATAATTCAGGGGGTTTAATAATTCTGACTTTAACTATATATGCATGTGTACATGTGTGTATTTTTGTATGTAATACAGTGCTTTGTTTCAAACTAAAAATTCACTGACAAAATCATATGAAAAGGATGAGATAAATATTCAGTTTTCAGGATATTTTTAAATGATTAAAGGCTATCTGAAATGCCTGAACTATACATTTAAGTTTCTTTTAACCAAAAACACTGCATGTGTTAAAAAAAAAAAAAAACTCTAATTAACATAAACAATGAACAACTTTAATTTTCATTAAAGCATTAACAGAGATTAACAAATGTCTTAACCAACTTACTAGTGATTTTTTCAGTCATGCATTAACTAATGTTGACAAATGAGACCTTACAGTACCATGGTATTATAAATGCTGTAACAGAATTACATTTTGATTGATTATTTAACATGATGCAGTAACTACAGGCAGCAGATTAAACCTTATTATTCATTTCCACTTTTGCAAACCCCAGGGAGGGGAACATGGGAATAAGCGGACTGTGGATTTTCCACATCGGATCCAGCCGCTTCCCTTTTCAGAATATAGTTCCTGCTTCTGTCACCAAGTCTGACTCTATGGGTTATAAAACCACTCAAAGAACCACAAAATCAAATACAACTGCAGATGAATCTGCTTCTGAGCCTCAGGTGGACAATCCAGCTTCACTTGTTCAACAGCCCTTAAAACCAAACCAAGAACTACAACAAGTCAATGTAACCAAAATGTGTGGTTTGCACCTGAGATTCTGCTCTGTGGATGGATACTGCACAGACTACCCAACTGGGCCATGCTGTTACTGCAGAACCGGCTACTATGGCAATGGCAGACATTGTTTACCCATGGGTGAGTTTATTTATTTATTTATTTTTTTTATTTCTTGTGACTGTCAAGTCAGGTCATTTTTATTTCTTTAGCACTTTATACAATGCAGATTGTGTCAAAGCAGGTGAACATAGATGACAGTTTAGGGTTTTGTAAGTAGTGATGGCTGCTTTCGAATGACTGATTTATGAAACTTTGAAACTTTTTTTGAATGCTTTTTATTTCAAATTAGTGCCCAAGTAGCAAAACATTATGGCTCAGATTTGGCCTAAAACTGGCACAGCTGGCATTCATACGGCACTGGCATACATAGGCAGAGGTGGCACTGCCTTTAAGGTGGCAGGCATGACCTGGTCCAGATGTCAATGTAGTATTTGGCCCAGATGTTAAAATCTGATATGAACCCTACTTACTCAATTTAGGATATTTTATGTGGTCCCCATAGATCTGTTATCTACTGAATCAAGACAAACTATTTTAGTCATACCATAATCAATACTATAGAATTGAGAACTTTGAATAATCACCATATGATTTACAGTTGAAGTCAGAATTATTACCCCTTTTTTGATTTTTTGATTTGTTTTAAATATTTCCCAAATGATATTTAAAAGAGCAAGGAAATTTTCACAGTATGTCTGATAATACTTTTTCTTCTGGAAAAAGTCTTATTTGTTTTATTTCGACTAGAATAAAAGCAGTTTTTAATTTTTTAAAAACTATTTTTGGGACAAAATTATTAGCTCCTTTAAGCAAAATTATTTTTTCGATAGTGTACAGAACAAACCATTGTTATAGAATAACTTGCCTAATTACCCTTACCTGCCTAATACACCTTATTAACCTAGTTAAGCCTTTAAATGTCTCTTTAAGCTGTGTAGAAGTGTTTTGAAAAATATCAAGTTAAATATTATTTACTGTCAGCATGGCAAAGATAAAATAAATCAGTTATTAGAAATGGGTTTTTAAAACTATTATGCTTAGAAATGTGTTGAAACAATCTTCCCTCCATTAAACAGAAATTGGGGGGGGGAAATAAACAGGAGTGATAATAATTCAGGGGGGCTAATAATTCTGACTTCAACTGTATATAGTATAAGTTTGTAGATGAAGGCCTAACTTACCCACATTTAGATTGGTCTCAAAAATATTTTGTTGTTCTAAATAGAAAGCCCATCATTGGCCTTTTACAGTCTAAGTATACTTGAAATAATGTCAATATGTCAGAGCTCTGAGGACATCGTATAGCGTGCCACACTGCTCCGTCTAACATGTCTTAGTCCGACCTGTACAGAGGCTTGTGGTGCTATTGGTTTAACGTAATCTATTAGAGATAATAACATAAACCCTCTTTGAATAATTCAAAACATAATTTATTAGCCAGGTAAATGTGTATTATTATATTATACACATTGTATTATTATTCATACAAGACATCAAATTCTCAAAGATAAATCCAAGATTAAAAGATGCATACCTGACTTTAAAATATACATAGCGTGGAACATGAAGTTCCACGCTATGAGCAGATCTGGATAACAGGATCGCCCAGAACATTTTTCAAATCTTCCCTTAAGTAATCCAAGAATCCGCCCAAGGAAAGGGGTGTGTGAATAACAAAAGGCATTTGCATTTAGTGCTGCCTGTAAGAAAGGCACACCCTCCACAGTGGTCAAAAGATACCTGAAGTTATATATTTAATGTTTTGATTATGTCTATTTCTGAGGGAATGAGACCATTGTACCAGTCGCACTGAGACATTTCAAATGATATCAAACATAATCGATAAAGTCACTTGGGTTGACATAAAACATTCAGACTTTGAAATGGTCATACTGTATGAGTACAGTGTGTAGAGGGGGTGGTAGAAGAAAGGAGTTCCAGGGGATTCAAATGTAAATGGAGCAAAGGAGGGGAACTGGTCTTTTCCCGCATTCCCACCAGCTGAGTTGTGAAGTCAATTTGTCTCTGTTTTCCGTTCATGTTTGAATTGTCAAAGATATCAAAATATTTGTGATATCTCAAATCTTGCACGCTGTACTACGTGGGTTGTGTGCGTCAGTTCCCTAAGCAACAAGAACCAACGCCTGACATCGCCTGTCCGTATTCCTCAAAGTTTTTTAGAATTAAATGTTTAGAGATGATGTGTCCCTATGTGTGCCTTTGATGCACCTCTTGATGCTTCCTATGTTCTTGTCGCAGCACTATATTTCATATGCTGATTTGATCTGGTACATACTAGTAACAAGGGTACTGGTTCTATAATGGCACCAGGTTTAGGTACCCAACCCTATATGTGGGTGGTTTACAGCGCATATCAAATTGTCAAGGTCATGTGATTTCAGTAAACTTGCCTTTGTTACATCATTACAGTTTCCAAACATTTAGAAAACTTAATATTTCAATACTGGGTGGTGATCTAATAAAATAAATACAATCCAATGATAGATCACCCCCAGTGGCAAATCACTGAACAAGTTTTAAAGTTTTTAACTGATATTATATCAGATTTACTAGTTTGGAGACATTTTATTGAGGCATTTGAAAAATAAAAGGGAATAACATTAGTTAATTAACAAACAATATATGAAGAGTTCAGATGCAAAAGCCTCTGAATGCTGTCTGAAATGTTCTTCTGAAATGAGTTTTTTTCTTTTTCCACAGGCTGCTTTGTGCAAGTTCAGTAATTTCACATTTATGGTGATGAATATGTTATTTTTATTGCCTTTAAAGAGAAATAAATAAATATAAACACAGGAGGCTAAAAAAATGCTTTTCCGAATATTCAGTTGACATTTAGAGGCTTTTTCATCTGAACTCTTTATGTCACAAAGTCTATTAGACTGGATCCAATTGCAAATGAAAGTTTGACAAGTTCATAGAAGAAATCAACAGGACAGCAGATAGCCAGTAGCCAGGCGATGGCAGCATACGAATCTCACAAAAATCAGCACTCGACCGCAGGGTGAGACCTGAGGAAACAGGACAGACACATGAACAGACTGAATGCTTAAGACTGGTAAACGAAGTCCTTAAACAGCCAGTCTTAACAGGTTGCAGCTGTAGCTATAATGAGTCAGATGATTGTCCGCACACTGTCAGGGGAAAAGGTAAACAAACACACCCACTCAAGGAACACAACAACAGAATGAGAGTACTGATTCATAAACTGTGACAATATAAGGCTTTAAATGTATAAAATAACACATATTATGCAGGGCCTTAATAGTTTAAAATATTAGATGATAAGTAGGCCCACATAGAATCTGCGCGCGCAGAATTCTGCAGATTTTTAGCCCATCATTGATTCTATTTATTTACTTGTGTAAATTTGTGTAAATTTATTTATTCAGTTTTTAAATCAATTTCAGTAATGTTCACTAATATGAAAATGTGATTCATATGATTTATTTACAATATCGTTTCTAAAGTAATATTTTCTGACTTTAGAATATAGTATATGAGACTTGCTTTGTTTACCAAATAAAGTGGATCGAATTGGATTTGCATTGTAAACATTAAATAAAAGTTAAAAAGGTATTTTTTTTTATTTTATATATTAAGGTTTTAGTTATGATCCTCCCAAAATCATTCCGCATAAATCCACAGTTTTTTTTACAAAATTCTGCACAGAAATAGCAAAAATTGTCAGCAGATGCTGTCTGGTTTTAATTATATTAGGTGCATTTATAGGTTATATTTTCGATTTAAAGTTTGCAATTCAATAGCATGTTTTTTTTTTTTTTTTTTTTTTGCATTTACACAGTTTTAACCAGTAGGTTTTGAACCTTTTGAAACAGTAAATCATTTTGCAAAGCAATTATTTTTAAGATTTTCTATCACAGGGGTCTCAAACTGAAATTGGCAGTGGGCCGATTTCAGTGACTGACAATTCACAGGAGGGCCGTTTTAACTTTTATGCACAAGAAAAAAAGTGGAAACCCAACATAATTCATGCATCCTATGACAACAGACATGACATTTCTATTTCAAGCATTACCTGTTACCAGTGATAATGTGAATCAGCATGTTTAGCATGTCACTCAGCTGCTGAAATATATCTGTGACTGGATCAAGTCCAGACACAATTAACAATAAATTAAATGCAGATCTTTTACATCAGTGGTAGCATTTACATCAGTGGCTGCAAGACAATCATTTGACTATTAACAATAAAAAAATAGAATGTATGCACATTACTCATTTATTCACTGAAAATTATCCATATCCTATGCCATTACTTTCTCAAATCAAAAACTTTACATTGTATCAACATATTAATATTTGGACTATGGACTCTCTCCTCACTTATTGTAACCATGTTCAAAATGTTTATAAAAAACTGAAACAAAGGCTATTTGTTTATGGGAAAATTACGACAAATTTGTCTTTTTCGGTTTCAAAAACTGATCTTCATGCCATAATCTTGTCTACCTTGTCTTGATGTTTGCCTGTTTGGTCTCTCACAACAAATGATATCTTGTAGCCAGAGTGTACAATAGGGCCTATTAGATCCACAACAGACTTTCTGGATGGACACATCACTGTTTTGCTTTATCACTCTCTAATGCGTTAACATTTCAAAACTACATTATGAACACAGGGATTAAACTGCACGATAAAGTTTTAAATAGTGCTACCCCAGCAGCCCTTTTTGCTTTGGTATCAAAACTTAACAAAAGGACTGATCGTTCCACCAGATCTTCAACAAATGGATGTTTGCCATTAATGGCTTTTAAAAACTGTTATGGACAGAGATCTTTCTTTTATGTATTCACAAAAGCCTGGAATGAAATCCCACAACATCTAAAAACAATACCAACACTGAGACTTTTTAAAAAATCACATGCTCGTCATCTAATGGTCAACTATCGCTGTAGCCACTGAGATAGTATCTGCTTTTCTCTATTTTATATGTTTGGTGATTGTTTGTACTGTGTTGATGGATGAGATGTCTGCCTGTTTTTTTATGTTCTGCAGAGCAGGAACCTGCTGAAAAACAGCATTCATGATGATCAGGCCCTATTATCTTTTAATCTTTTCCTGTTAAAAAAAAATTATAAATAAATAAATGAATAATGCATTACAATAGTCCTGCCTTGGGATATGAAATGCCTAAACTGGCTTTTTCGAAACAGAGATTGGGAGTGTATGTCATAGTTTGTGAATTATTATATATATATATTTTTTTTTTGTTACAAATGCTCAAGATGTGGCCTATCAAATAACCATCTTTAACAGAGGAATGTGCCTGAGAGATGTCTGATCCAATAATTAAACCCCCCCTTTTTTCAAAATTTGGTAAAAAAACTTTTTTTTTAAAGTTACTAGTCATCTGATTTGTAATATTAACTACACATTTTGTGAATTTATATCCCCAGGCCATGATCATCAGGTGCAACAAGGACCTTTTTATATACTGTATGTTTGACTGTGATGCCAGCAATAATGCAAATGTAAAATAAGTCTGTTTTACAGGTATTTCTCAACCTTTGAGTGGAAAGCTGAGTGGCCATGTTTCTGTTGGGGGCACTAAAGTTCAGCTAAACAGTGTGGACCTCCATGGCTTTGCGGTGGTGGGAGAAGGTCGTGTGTATGTCTCCATCAGTCCTGTCCCAGCTAGGGTGGGCTGGGCTCTGATGGCTGTGGGCCCGCTGGTCTCCACATTTGGCTGGCTCTTTGCTCTTGAGCTCCAGAACCATCCAAATGGCTTCAGCATAACTGGTATGACTGCTTATCCTTATCTGAAGCTGCATTGCTTATTATTTCACACTAATCATGTCAATACCTTTCATCAGGAGCTGAGTTTTTCTACAAAGCAGAGCTGGTGTTCAGCCCACAAGGACAGCGTGTTGTCATTATTCAAGAGGCTCAAGGAATGGATTCATTCAACCACTTGAATTTTGACATTAACATCATTGGAGATTTACCTAGCATTCCCAGTGGAGCCAAAGTTCATATTCTGCCATATACAGAGACCTATCACTACAACCATTCAGGTAATTCTTCTAAAGGAGCGCTATTCAATTAGTTTGTCATGGGGGCCGGAGAGTTATGACTTGCAATATAAGTGATGACACAACAGCAATATAAGAGCCCAAATGTTATATTTTTGCTCCTTAAGACACCCACGTTGGCTTTTTCTTCATTAAGACGTTAATATTTTGTTTCTGAAACTACATAACATCACTGCAGTGTACAATGTGGCTTTTTTACAAACATATTTAAATGTTGAATTTCAGAGCACAACAAAATCCGTGTATTGCTCAAGTAGGCAAAGAGCTTAGAATGACCAAGTTGCGACACTCAATAGAACATTCCATTGCAACAGCAGCGCCCAGCAACAGCCCCGGATTCCGCCATTTTGGAGTGAAAGCGATCGGCCGTCCGTTGGATCTTTTTGCTGTCACGATGGCAAGCAGCTGCTTTATTTTTTATTTATTTATCTAAAAAGCGCATGTAAGCTGAGAAACAACCTGAAAGAAGACATTACAACACTTACTATCACGATCATTAGCACTTTAAAAGTTTATTTTACAGACTTATAGTATACTGTTGTTCTATTGGAATTTTCATTCCAAAATGGCCACCGTGCCCTCTAGTGGCTGTTTCCCAAATCGCACTAGAGTGTCACCTCTTGATGATTCTATGCTCTTTGAAGTAGGCTTCTTCTACATTCAGACAGGTTATGTTTTGAACTGCATAACAATTAGGGGAGCAACGATTATACATTTTGGTTGTATGATTATATAGTCTGAAGAATAACCATGGTTTCACGATAATCATGATTATTATGCACTTATTAAAATTCAAAACGCTACTAGTTTAGAAAATCACAAGACAACTGCTTTTTTTTTTAAGTGTTGTTCATTGCTACTCAGTAACCAAAAACAGCACAAAATATTAATAAAACAAACAATATTCTATTTCTCTCTTTGGACTTACAAATAAATGAAACCGGTTTTTGATTTAAACATGAGGGATAATTTTACAATGAAAATAAATGACTGAACAATTAATAGATAAATAAAAATAAAAATAAATAAAATAGTATTTGTCTAATGTAATTTAAGCTTTATATTAGCTAAGACTTTAAATGAACTGTTGTTATTATCTAAGTTCCTACATGCATAATGATTTTAATAATTTGTAATAATTTGTCTAACGGATCTTTGGTTTACATTGCACTGAAAGCCACGCACAACTCTCACCACTACAGCATGAGGATTTTTACTGTGTGTGCCTGGAGGACGCGAATGCGTCGGTCCGCTGGCGAGCTGTGCGACCACCAATATGTGCACCACCACCAATATGTGCACATCTCCATTGGAAATAATGAACTTGTGTGCGGAAAAGATGCAAGATGTCAGCGGCTTGCTGCTATATTTGATCCAATGTGCGTGCATATTAGCCTCGGTATAAGCTTGGAACTTTAAATTAGTACACAGCTGGCATTACTTTAGTTGTAGCAGTTATTTTCCATGAAACAGAAATGTGCCGTTAAAAAACCTTTACGATTAATTAACCGTAATGAATTTAAGCTCGGTTATAGTGAAATCGGCTAATCATTGCATCCCTATTAACGATAGTGCATTGAATAAAAGGCCTTTTCTACAAACATATCCAAATGTTTTTGGCTGCTCGCGTCACTCGCTTAGGGCTCTATTTTGACAGTCCATGCGCAGAGCGCAAAACGCAGGGCGCAAAAGCAATGCATTTTTGCTAATTTAAGGACGTGAAAATCCGCATTGCGCCATAGCGCATGGTCTAAAAGGGTTGAGTTTATTTTCTTAATGAGTTATAGGTGTGTTTTGAGAATAAACCCACATAGCAAAATTTCTCTGGCCCAGCTCTGGCCCACACAATCAGGTTTTGCTTGGCCCACATGCCGCAGTGAATTACGGTACATGACTGGACCAAATCTGGCTTCCAGACAAGGGCCAAACACGGACCATATCTGGGCCAAGTCTCAGCCAAGTTAATAACTCATAACTGGGCCTGAACTGGACCAGATAGGTTGGTGTGTCACGATTGCAATGAAATTGATAAACCCATGGAGTGATGCTCTTTAGGCACACTATGGGCACGCTTTTTCTCAAAGTGACCTGATTGTTAGAATTTTTTTTCTTTACTCAAAAATGACATTAGTGTATTTTAAATGTGGGTCAAGACTGGGCAAACTCACATGGCCCACTTATCAAATTTTTAAATCTGGGCCAAATACTATGTTTTTCATCTGGCCCAAATCTTGTGTGCCGCCTTAAAGACGGTGCCACCTCTGCCAAACCCAGGCCATGTTTGGCCCACATGCTGTATGCCAGTGCCGGATGAATGCCTGCTGTGCCAGCTTTATGCCAAATATGGGCCAGATTTCTTTGCTACTAGGGTCAACCAATTAGAGTCTCATCTCCCATTACCTTTAAGAGCCAGCTGCGTCGCGTGCTGTGCCCATGCTGTGCCCCTTATGGTATAAAACCTGACAGGTGGGCAAATCTAAGCTTGTTTTTAATAAAACAAATATAAATATGGATATAATAAATAATACTGCTAATAATAATAACATTATACAAAAGCAAATTGTTATGAATGAACTGAAAAAGCCTCCCGAGATGAAGAAGACATAAAAGCTGTGGTTTTTCATATTTATGTAGGCTAGAAAATAATATCTTGTAATATTTTAATCCTTTATATTTATATTATATATATATATATATATATATATATATATATATATATATATATATATATATATATATATATTCTTATTATATCCTATATATCTCCTTAATATTTAAATGTTTTCATATTTAAAGATATTTGCCTATTGCTCTCTTGTGCGTATTAAGGTTTGTTTTGGTCTAATGAAAAATCTATTATAGTTTCTCAAAATAGCAATGCGCCAGCAGTGCGCCTCAGAACGCCTTCCTTTTTAGACCAGAACACCTATAGGCGCACATCTGAGCGCAAATGCATTTGCTATTTTTAAACAGCGTAGCGCAACGCCTCAAAACCACTCTTGCGCCAAGCTGAAACTACCAAAAGACTATTGCACCACACCTTGCGCCACATTGCGCCGGGTGTATGATAGGGCCCTTAATGTTACTCCCTGACCCTGACTCACTCCTTGCAAAGCCTTCAACTGCAGCTTGTGCTGTATTGAACAGACGCAATTCACTTCATAACTATAGCACCCCTTTTTCAACTGAACTAAATTTAGTTTTGATATTTTCGTCACACTATTTGGACGGCTGAAACAAATTGCCTCGGGGGCCAGGTTCGGCCTGCGGGCTGCCAATTGAATAGCTCTGTTCTAAATTGTTAAAGGCTAATGACAGGGGATTTGGTAATTCTAGTTTTTCAATTTGATTATGAGTGAGATTTGCTTTCATACATTCAATACAACAATCAATAAATAAATAAAAAATATACTAACATAAATGTGGACCAAATTTTATTGTCTGTTTTATGCTCCGACAATACAAAATTCAGTCCTAAATAAGGTGGAACAAACTGTAATGGCAACAAAGCAGGTTCACTGAAGAAATACCCACAAATAATGTAACAAGCAGGGCCAGATTAAGAACACATTGGGCCTTGGGGCTATAGCAAATGCAAGGGCCTCCTTTTATTTTTTTATCTCACAGAAGTATTTATACAGTATAAGCAATTCCAGCGGACGTGACATTTGCAGTAAAAACTCAAAACATAAATTCACATAGAAAGCATATGTTAACATTACATTGAAACAACTGACCACAGAGTTAAGGGAGCAGAAAAACATCACTCTGTAAAGATTTTTTGCACTTTAAATGAGGAAAATAAACATCCGATGTGGACGAGACAAAAAAAAGTCTGCCAGTTTACAGAATACAACATACTTTGAAGAAATTCTGTGAATTAAATTGCACAAACAAAAGAAACAATGATAATCAAAATGATATCAGTTGGCTCTCTAGAAAACAAAATGATTTATGATTATTTAATATTTTCACATTTATGAGGAAAAAAGTGTAATTACGGATGTTACATATCTCTGTTATGGATGTGACAGTTGTGAATTTGCCAGTTTAGTGACTTTGGTAAATCGAAAAGAATAGTTTAAAACACAAACAGATGCATTTTTTAGTATTTCTCAAGCAGTGTAAAATAATTCCTTACACAAAAAACCCCAGAAACGGTTCCCATATTTTGGTGAAAACTAAATTTTTTTTTTTTCATGACAAGGTTGACATTTGCATGGAATTGCTTATATATATATATATATATATATATATATATATATATATATATATATATATATATATATAGTAGCGAGGTAGAGGGAAAACACATACACGTAAGCGTTGTGTCACAAACAGGTCCCCGTAGGGTGATTTATTTACAATGTGAAAATAGTGAAACAAGATGAATACAGTGCTCTTCTAGGGGTAGGTGCTCCGGGGAGAAGGTGAGGTTGAGTGAGAGTTCTGGTGAAGGATCGGTCAACCGCTGGAATCCGCTGTGTAGGAGAGACAATGAGACACAGATTAGCACAGGGAGTCATTGAGTGAAATGAAGCTTGTCTTCCTTGTGTGCGGGGTTGGCTTTTATGTGTCTCTCTTGATGAGTTCCAGCTGGGACCGATCCGTGCTGATTAGGTGCCAGCAGGGGTGAATCCTGGACCAAGGCGACGTGGCATCAGTATACTCGCTACAATATATATATATATATATATATATATATATATATATATATATATATATATATATATATATATATATATATATATAACTGTTGTTATTAATAATTTACTAATTAATATGCAAGTAGACTATACAAAATTAAGTAATGACATTATATGAACTTTAAAGTTCAAACAGACTGCAAAAATCAGCAAAACAAAAAAGCGTGTGTAATACTCCCTAAATTAGTGCTTTATAATAAATACTTTATAAAGGGCTTTACCTTTATAAAGGGTCTTTAGAACTTTAGCTGACCATAAATCCCTAATGATTGAATATCTTTAAAATCCATGCTTTTAATATCCAAAATATTGTGGTCTTCTGAGTTACAAAAGGCTAGCATCCTTACAATGAACAAACCAACATATAGATCTCCTTAGAACTAACAGACTAAAACTAACTTTTTTTTTTTTATTTTAATTTCATGGGACCTTTAAGTTGTGAATTATCTCTAAATGATGGTGCATGTTCTAAATGTGTCTGTCTCAGTGTTGACATCATCTTCACTGCGGGAGTACATGGTGGTGTCAGAAAATGGTGGATCTGAGACGTTGTCCTACCTACTACAGCAGAACATGAGTTTCAGTGGATGTGCACATGATCCCAGGACCACACCAGACTTTCAGCAGGTGAACGTGGAGCATCTGATGGTCATGTTCACAGAGGGAAACACACTCAGATATGCCATCAGCAACAGAGTGGGACCTGTAGGAGGTAAGAACATTGTGATAGCCAATGCTTAATAAAATAAGCACATTCACATGCATATCAACACACTGATAACTTTTATACAGTCAGCTAACTAAAATAACCCATTAGCTAGATTAACATGCACACCAATAAACCGGCAAATCAAGTAAACCACATTAACAAGATTTATCAAAATGTAATAATTTGTACATCTAACTTTTTTGTATGTCAGTTGTCATGCTTATTAAATCATTATTTAAAAGTAAGTAAATCTCAATGGGAAAATTATGGCTTACAATTTATCCTATCAAGATCCTTCTGCCACACAACATCAATGCAGTTTTTTAAAAATTCCTTCAGTCTGAATTGTGTAATATTTTCAAAATCTTGCTTTGCTGGTCATAAGTACAGAGGTTACACATAAATATTATTAATTTAATTTAAAGAATTTAAAGTGTTACTACTACAAGTTTATTTGTTTTGATATGTGTTTTCTATCTATTAATTTACTTAATAAATTGGTAATGTGGACATATGTATTTTCTTATGTTTATTTGTATAAATATGCTCTAATTTAGATGTTTTGTTGTCTTTTTTTTTGAGCGCGAGAGGACACATGTATTCTTAATTGTCTATTGACTTGAGTGCAAGCAAGTGAACTGCGTAGAACAAGCAAGAAATTAATTATTTTTCATCATCTGTGTATATGTTAACATGGCGTACGTAAAGTATTTTATTTATTTGTTTGGAATTATATGTTAGTTTATGTTTCTCTGTTATTTCTGAAGTGATACAGTCCCGTTAATTTAAAGTTTATTCTTTTTTTTTTATTGGTAGACTTTAGTTTGCCCTTTAATTGTGAAGTTGGAAACATCTGTGCCCTGGTGACTCCATTTTTATTACACGTTATTTATTGGTTTGTATGGCCAAGTTTGGGTTTGTTTTTTGAAGATAATTTTTTGGAAAACCATTGCTTCATTGGAACAACCCTGATACCGGTTTATGCTTAGGTAGTTGATGACCTTACTTTGATGAAAGAAAACACATAAGCATGTTTACATGTTTTATTAAATGACTGTCTGGAATACTCGACTCTGATTGTTCACTCATGACATACCTCATTACAGGTATGTTATTCTGACATAACAAACGCTAAATAATGCAGGCTCATTCGGGAACTTCGAATCAACTTGACTGTCAGTGAATACATTCTAATCTTTCTTGCTTACACCTGCACTCATACGTATCGTGTCCGTCCACTGTTTTTGACAAGATGGTGCCATCTTGTAAATGAATAATAGTTAGGCTAGGATAAGCTTCATCAAGTCAGCTTAGTTTCTGTTGGCTTTGTGTTTGTGTCTGTTTGGAGCCATTTTGTAACTGAAAAGTGCTTAAGATAGTGTATACTCCATCAGCTGTTTTTATTTCTGTCAGCTTTGTGTTTAATTCAATGATAAACATACTATTATAGCTTAAAATAATGTTTTGTGTCTATTTTTCATGTTTTTGTGGCATATTTTTGTGGCAAGTAGCTGTGTAATATAGTAAATAAACTCTTCAGTCTTATACAACAGTGTTCTGTTTTGTGTCTGGCTGCTGATAAGCTTGTCGGACTTATTCTGCGATAACAACCTCCTAAGCAAGTATTATCAGATTAAGAACTTGGAAGTAAAAGCATTCAGTCTGGATCATGTGGAATCTTCTTATTTATTTAACTGTATGTTTTCAAGGTGAGCTACCTGGACTTGTAGAGTTGAATCCATGTTTAACTGGGAAGCACCATTGTGACCCGATGGCCCTCTGTCTGCCAGGGGACGGCACTCAGTATCTCTGTCAGTGTGCTATGGGCTACCAGGGCGATGGACAAAACTGCTACGGTAGGAATCTTTCAGTGTTTCAGTGTCACTTGATTTTGACATCAAGCCAAGCATGCTCCACCGAGAGCTCGGTTCTCTCTTCTGAGGCCTTTAATGAATTACTGCCAGAGTTAAAGTGGTGAACGACTCTCATGGGTTTTCAATCTGTAATCCAGATGTGGATGAGTGCGCGGAGGGGCTCAGTTCCTGTGGTCCTCATTCTGACTGTGTGAACATGCCGGGTGGCCATCACTGCCACTGTCAGTCTGGCTACGAGTTTGACCTCGATTTGCATGAGTGTGTGGGTAGGTGTTCACTGATTTATCATTGAAATGTTTAAAGCTGGGGAATTGAACTATTAGAAATATGACAGGGATTTGAATTGCTTATTTGATGAAATTAAGGATTACATTTTTTTTAATACTCTAAAAATTAGGCTTGGTTATGTTTTGAAAGTTTTCTATATTTCAGTGGTTTACCATTATTCAGGTGTTGGTCTTAAGAATCTAATATCTATATATATATTTCTAATATACAATGCATTGTTTTTTGATCTTGGTTCAGCAAATAGTTCAAGTGATTCAGTGAGCTTTTCAGTTGATTTAGCTGTTTCAAAAGTGAACTGTGTTTTGAAGTAACTGCATCAACTGATTCATTATTTTATACACTGATTTAGGTTGCTTTACTTTGCACTAGTGACTCTTTTTGTGAAGCATCTGGTTCAGCTGATTCAGTGATTTATAAATTGATAAAATTGGTTTGAAATAGTTAACTGTGTTGTGAAGCAACTGGTTCAACTGATTCATTGTTTTTTTTTTAATTCATTCAATTACGTTGAGACAGTGAATTGTGTTGTGAAGCAACTGGTTCTACTGATTTATGGTTTTATCATCTGATTCAATTGCTTTGAAACAGTGAATTGAGTTGTAAAGCAACTGGTTCAGCGGATTTAGTTTTTTTTTTTTTTTCAATTGATTTGACTTGCTCTGAAACAGTGAATCTTGTTGTGAACCAGTTGTTCCAACTGATTAATTGTTTTGTTTTATTCATTCGTTTTTCAATTTTTGGGCTTTGAAATAGTAAAATGTGATGTGAAGCAACTGGTTCAATTAATTTAATGTTTTTACAATTGATTCCATTGCTTTGCAACAGGGAATCTTTCTCTTAAGCAACAGTTTCAATTGACTCAATGGTTTATGAATCGATTTGATTGCTTTACAACAGTGAATTGTGTTGTAAAGCAAATGATTCAAGTGAGTTATTTGTTTATTAATTGAATTCCTTTGAAACAGTGAATGTTGTGATACAGCATGTTCAGCTGATTACCTTTTTTTTTTTTTTTTTTTCAATTGATTTACATGTTTTGACTTGTATTAAAGCAACCAGTTAAACTGTTTCATTGTTTTGTTTTGTTTTCACTTGATTCAGTTTGTCAATCAATTGGTTCAAATATTTTTGTAATTGATTCAGTTACTTAGTTGAATTTCCTCACAACAAAATGAACAGTTTCTGATTCTGTTTTTTTTTTTTTTAGCCTTAGACACAACATTGATTGTTTATCATGTATTTTTGCTTAAAAAATTTAAATAGTTCAAACTTAATCAAAGCAGTAACTATCAGTCAATGTGCTGTGTGTTCAGAGATGCTCTTCTACAGACATAAGTTGAAATGAGTGGTTATTCCAGTTACTATTGCTTTTCCATAATCTCAAACCAGTCTGATCATTCTCCTTTGACCTCTACATCAACAAGCCATTTTTGCCCAACAGAATTGACCCTCACTGAATGTATTGTTGTTTTGTCATTTATGCTTTGGTAATGTTGGATGGACAACACATGACTCTCATTTGTAAAATCTGTAAACGTACAAAGTGTCAATTTACATCAGAATGAATCAAAAACAACTTCTGGTCATTTATGAAATATAAAAATTCACCACAGACATTTGTTGAACCCTTTCACACATAAAACCCATTGGAAAGTCTAATTTATGCAACCGCACATATGGTACACATTCATTCTGCATATTTCTGAAGAGGCTTCATCGTTCTCTTTTTTATTTTGCAGATATCGATGAGTGTTTCGAGGAGCTCTGTCATCCGTTTGCTTCCTGCTCAAACACCCAGGGCTCGTTCCGCTGTCAATGCTGGCCTGAATACAAGGGCGATGGCTTCCTCTGCCAACCACCACGTAAACCACAACATTTATCAAGAAACACACAACCCTTCCTCCCTGTCAGCTCAGTCACGGGCCGTTCTTTTTGCTTACAACACAGTCCAGTACATCAACTAAATCAAGTATCTGTGTGTATTGTGCACCAATCAGAATGAGCTGTTTAATTATTCCTAATGTGACTGGAACGAGTAGAGCATGTTTCTGGAGCAACGTCTTTTGTTTCAGTACTTGTTGAAATAACATCATGCCATTTACTGATTACATGTGATTGATGTCCCTCTGTTTTTCTTTAAAAAAAAATTCTGCAGCAAAAAGGCCCAAGCCTTCATTAACTGCATGCCAGCAGCACAGAAACAGCCTGCAGGAGAGTATGAGCATGTATCCAGCTCTGGAGGCTTTTGTTCCAAAGTGTGATGATAAAGGCCAGTACAAACCCCTGCAGTGTTTGGGCTCCACTGGACACTGCTGGTGTGTGGACAGCAGGGGGCAGGAGAGAGTGGGCACCAGGACAATGCCTGGCACAGCTCATGCCAACTGTGATCAACCAGGTAAGGATTTATCCTCACATTCTGTTTTCTGTTATGGCCGGTTTTTATACTCTTATGCGTTTTACACTTTTTTTGCAGGAGTACTTTTCCCTTAGCTTAGCAAAAATCTGTGAATCGGATTAGACCATTAGCATCTCGCTTAAAATGAACTTCAATAGTTCAATAGTTCAATAGTTTTCCTATTTAAAGGCTGACTTTTCTGTTGTTACTTTGTGTACAAAGACTGACAGTAAATGAAAAGTTGGTATTTTAGTTGATGTCTAGGAAATATACTATCTGACAAAAGTTTCGTCATTGATCTCAGTTGTAAGAGCAACAAATAATAACTTGACTTCTAGTTGATCATTTGGAAAAGTGGCAGAAGGTAGATTTTTCAGATGAACCATCTGTTGAACTGCATCCCAGTCATCAAAAATACTGCTGAAGACCTAATGGAAACCCAAGATTCTCACAGAAATCAGTCTGGTTTGGTGAAGGAAAAATCATGATTTAGGGTTACATTCAGTATGGGGGCAGATCTGCAGAGTGAATGGTTACATCAACAGCCTGAGATATCAAAACATTTGCACTGCCTATTACATCACAAACCACAGGAGAGATCTAATTCTTCAGCAGGATAGCGCTCCTTTTCATACTCCAGCCTCCACATCGAAGCTCCTGAAAGCAAAGAAGGTCAAGGTGCTTTAGGATTGGCCAGCCCAGTCACCAGAAATGAACATTATTGAGCCTGTCTGAGGTAAGATAAAGAAGGCATTAAAGATGAATCCAAAGGATCTTGATAAACTCTGGGAGTCCTGCAACTCCCATTCCAAATGACTTTATTAATAACTTATTTGAGTCATTGCAGAGATGTATGGATGCAGTCCTCCAAGCTCATGGGAGCCATACACAATATTATTGTTTCACTGCATCATGACTATATATTCTATTCAGTACATTATTTCTGTTAAGTGACAAGAATGTTGTCAAAGCAAAGTCAGACCTTACTGTTCTAATTAAATTAATAAAAATCAAGGTATGATCATATTTTATTTGGGTAAAATAGACATAACCTAGCGGTCTTTGCCTTTAATATAAGCCACTTCTGATACCAAATGATCAACTAGAAGTCAAATTATCATGTGTTGCTCCTAAAACTTGGATAGCCAACAAGACTTTTGTCAGGTACTGTATACTCTCATTCTGGCATATTAATCAAGATATTTTGCACATGGCTGTAGCAGGTGCAATGATATTACGCAGCTCTTTTTTAATTTTTTTTTTTTTTTTGCAAGATGCTAATGGTCTAATTCAATTCAGTGAGATATGCTAAGCTAAGCTACAAGTGATTCCACTAGACCCAGAGATTAGCTGAATAAATTCAGAAATACGTCAATGACTATAAACATTCTTCAAAATAAGTTATTTTGTGTCCAGTCTTCAGTGTCACATGATCCTTCAGTATTTTGACCTGCTGAACTGGTGCTGAATAAATATTTCATATTATTATATTAGACATGCGGTACAGGTGAATTGGGTAGGCTAAATTGTCCGTAGTGTATCAGTGTGTGTGTGGATGTTTCCCAGAGATGGGTTGCGGCTGGAAGGGCATCTGCTGCGTAAAAACTTGCTGGATAAGTTGGTGGTTCATTCCGCTGTGGCGACCCTGGATGAAGGGACTAAGCCGACAAGAAAATGAATGAATGAATGAATGAATGAATGAATGAATGAATGAATGAATGAATGAATGAATGAATGATGTTATTAATAGTTGCTTTTGTGATTTTTTTTTTCCAGGATTTTATGGAGAGAAAAAAATTGGGCTCAATATTTTATTTTGAACAAGTGGATGGATGGGCAGACAGACAAAGAGATAGATAGATAGATAGATAGATAGATAGATAGATAGATAGATAGATAGATAGATAGATAGATAGATAGATAGATAGATAGATAGATAGATAGATAGATAGATAGATAGATAGATAGATAGATAGATAGATAGATAGATAGATAGATAGATACTACGCCACCGCGTCGCCACTCAATAGAATTTGTGGGTCGTTTATCAGTCTATAAGTTCTTTCAAGTTTTAATTCACAAAATTATCTCTGTTGTTCAAAACATTAGCAGTATGGTTGCATTTAAAACAGAAACATACTTCCTGTTCCCCCAGCATGTGTGTTGTGGGAGCTACATTCAGTTCCAGCTATATATGACATAATTATCTCTCATGGGACAGTCAGACTGTAATTAAAGCATCTCACAGTCATTCATTGAGGCAAGATATATGCATGTAGCCGGCGGTCAGAGATTTGAAACATGTCATGAAAAAGTGTGTTTGGGCGGTAACTTTTTTCAGTAAATGTGACGTTGTTTACTGTGTGTGTTGCTCAGCTGCTCTGGTTCCCCGTGTGGAGACTGTGTGTGAGCGTTGGAGGCTTGCACTCATGAGTCACTATAATGGTCAGCCGTCCTCTCAGGACTACATGCCCCTCTGTGACGCTCACGGAAATTTCCAGCCTGTGCAATGTTATGGCAACAGCGCTTTCTGCTGGTGTGTGGACCGACATGGTGTTGAAATTATTGGAACCCGGTCCAACGAGGATGTAAAGCCCCCCTGTGAGTAATAAAGTTATTTTGGATGCAATGTATTAAGATAAGAGATGCTAACAAGCAATGGATTCTAGTGAACTGCTTATTTAAAATTAGTTGAAACAAGACAATTCTTAGTTTTTTTTTTTTTTTTTTTTTTTTTGAGGAGACAGCTTAATTGTTTTATGTTCAATCCACTGACATTTTTAAAGAATATTGTTAACTTAATTGATTTGTCTTGGGACAACATGAAGGAACTGTGTTTTTACACTGTATCTCATCAATCATTTGGCCTAGTGATATGGAACTGTAATTCAATCAAGGCCTGCCAGGAACTACTTTAGCTGTGTGGTTATCTGAAAACACCTTGGAATGTTCAGAACTAGGGCTGCACAATTTGAATCAATAAACCAAAAGAGATCAATTAGATCCATGCTATAGTATCCCAAATTTCCAGAATGCATTGCATCGTAACAACATATAGGACATATTGATTTCTGTTCGATATTGGTCAAGAAGTATTTTGATGTCCTTTAATCCTTAAACACATGACATTCTGAATCTATTTTTTTTTGCCTCACTCATTTTCAGCCATTTTTGGTCGAGTGCATTTTAATATCCGATGGTGTGTTCTAATTTTACTGGTTTCACTAACCACATGCAATGCTACCATCAAATGGCATTTACTTGTAATGCATAATTAATTTACCAATTCTAAAAACCAAACCATTACTCAGAAGCAACAATTTAAAAGCTCCCTCGAACAGAAGAGCTGGGTGGTGGTGGGGGGGTGGTGGTATGCAAACTGAAGACTGGGGTCCCTGGTCTGTACTACCAAGGTTGGCAATCTGAGGACTGTACCAAAAAGCTGAGGAACAGGGGTGGGGCAGAACAAAACGGGAGATGGGTCTGAAATACGAGAGACCCCCGGGAAAAACCGGAGTGTTGGCAGGTATGAAGTAGAATAACTAATTGAGCTTTGTGATCATGTGATTTCAATAGTTTTAGCCAAAATGTCCAGCCCTGGTTTTAATGTCTCTTCTTTTCACCTGTCAGGTATATCTGGTGATGCCGCCCCACTCAACAATGCACTGATGTATCCGGTTATAAGCTCCTCCCCTTCAGGCCCTGCTATACTTTACACACAAGCCTCACAGATTGGAGTCATTCCACTTGAAGAAACAGACCCAGTTCAGGAAAAGTCCACTGTGTTATTAGCCTTACAGGTAGACTTTTATATCCACTAAGTGTGATCACTGACTGTCTTGTTATCATTATTCAGAAAAAAAAATGATGTTTAAATGTCATTGCAGGACTCGGTTGTGATTGGAATTGACTATGACTGTCAGGAGAACATCTTGTATTGGACAGATTTTGGACGACATACAATTTACAGAGCAGTTCTAATATCTGGGTCTGAACCAGAGGCTGTTATCAGCAAAGGTCAATCAATCAATCAATCAATCAATCAATCAATCAATCAATCAATCAATCAATCAATCAATCAATCAATCAATCAATCAATCAATCAATCAATCAATCAATCAATCAATCAATCAATCAATCAATCAATCAATCAATCAGTCAGTCAGTCAGTCAGTCTGTCCATCCAACCACCTACCTCTTTCATATCTATCTATCTATCTATCTATCTATCTATCTATCTATCTATCTATCTATCTATCTATCTATCTATCTATCTATCTATCTATCTATCTATCTATCTGTCTGTCTGTCTGTCTGTCTGTCTGTCTGTCTGTCTGTCTGTCTGTCTGTCTGTCTGTCTGTCTGTCTGTCTGTCTGTCTGTCTGTCTGTCCGTCCGTCTGTCTATCTATCCATCCATTTGTCTGTCTGTACGTCTGTCTATCTATCTATCTATCTATCTATCTATCTATCTATCTATCTATCTATCTATCTATCTATCTATCTATCTATCTATCTATCTATCTATCTATCTATCTATCTATCTATCTATCTATCTATCTATCTATCTATCTATCTATCTATTCATCCATCCATCCACCATCCATCCACCCAAAACTTGAAAGAACTTATAGACCTACAAATTCTATTGAGTGGTGACACGGTACCGTAGTATCTATCTATCTATCTATCTATCTATCTATCTATCTATCTATCTATCTATCTATCTATCTATCTATCTATCTATCTATCTATCTATCTATCTCTATCTATCTATCTATCTATCTATCTATCTATCTATCTATCTATCTATCTATCTATCTATCTATCTATCTATCTATCTATCTATCTATCTATCTATCTATCTATCTGTCTGTCTGTCTGTCTGTCTGTCTGTCTGTCTGTCTGTCTGTCTGTCTGTCTGTCTGTCTGTCTGTCTGTCTGTCTGTCTGTCTGTCTGTCTGTCTGTCTGTCTGTCTGTCTTTCTTTCTTTTCATATTTCGAGTTTTCCAATATACCCAATACAGATCCACCTATCCATCTAATTGCACCTATCCATCTAAACATATCTTTATTAAATCAACCATCCAATCATTTTTCTTTCAATTCACATATCAAACTGTCAAATTCAGATCCATCCATCCATCCATCCATCCTCTCATCTTTACAGTTATCTATTTTCCCCAACCACAGATTCACCAATCCATGTAATTGAACCATTCATCTAAACATCTCTTTATCAAATCAGCCATATATCCATCTTTCTTTCAATTCGGATCTCCAACTATCAATTCCACCTCCATCCATCCATCCATCCATCCATCCATCTGTCATTCTATCTATCTATGCCTTCATCCATTGACCCATTTATTAATTTTCTCATACATCTATCTATCTGTCAATCTATCCAGCAGTCTATCTGTCAATCCATCAATCTATTCATCCGTCAATCCACTCACCCACCCACAGTTATCCTTCTATTGAATTGTTCTTTGTTCTTTGCTATCGACTATTTGTCGATCTATCCATCCATTCATTTCCCTAGCCAATCATTCATCCATGCTTCCGTCTGTCTATCCATCCATTTTTCTAATCTTAGAGTTACCCATGCATGTTGAAACAAATATTTTGACCAACTACTTTAGCAGAAAGTCAAGTAAATAGCCTTGCTTTTCAGATTCAAATTAGACCAATACCATTTATTTAAAAAAGGGAGAATAACATGCAATAGGTCTCAGCCTTGGTAAATGCTGTTGGCAAGAGATTCCATGATTATACGATGTGAAATTCCAGACTTGATTCAGCCGGAGGGAATTGCAGTGGACTCTGTGCACAGGATGCTGTTCTGGGCAGACAGTGGGAAAGACAAGATTGAGACATCTGGCCTGGATGGCAGTAAAAGAAGAGTACTGATTGACTCAGGTTTGGTCAATCCCAGAGCCATCATAGTAGACGCTAAGAGTGGGTCAGTGAGATGTTCTGATGCATTGCCTATGCATTGTTACATATACTATTATGCATACATAAATACGTAAATGCATTAAGATGGCATTTAGAAATTACTGTATTTCTTTGCTTTAGAACTGTATTCTGGACAGACTGGAACCGTGATGCTCCCAAAATAGAAAGCTCATCACTGGAGGGACGTAACAGAAAAGTACTGGTGCAAGTGGGTCTCATGTTGCCCAATGCCTTGACATGGGACAATGCCACAAATCAACTGTGCTGGGCTGATGCAGGTAAGAGTCTTCTTAAATTATAGCAAATCTTATGCACTCTCATGCACACACTGGCCACTTTGGTCTGATCAAGCTTGCAACTGAAATCTGAAGGAAGTTAGATCTCGTGGAACAGGGCTGGTGACTGGCCTAAAGGATCCAGTTACTGCAGATTGTCAATCTTTGATGTAAATCTGTTCTTCTTCGGATTGAGGTCTGGATACTGTGGAGGCCATGTGGGTATAGTGAACTTAAAGGTGCAATAGGGCTTCTTGTTAGCCTAATCACACTGAAAGCCTACATGCCACCCTGCAAATCACCACCCAAAGCATGCCTACTGAATGCATAAATTTAACAACTAAACAATACCACCACAGTACATTCACCAAAGAGAAAACTTTATAGTACAGCTAGAAATTACAAACTTAAAAAAAGAAAGTAGGATTTTGGTGTTTGTCTGCCCTACTCAGTCTAAAGCCGCCTTTCCACTGCACAGGACATTTGGACACGACTGTCGGAATACGCCCCTTTGTGGCAGCCGCACAGTATTTTCAGTGTTGTCGTGCACCGTGGGGGAGAAGCTGATACTCATGGTGTCCGAAATAAAGGTGTGCAAAAGCAAGAGCCTTTATTCTCTGTGCGTTTACATGTTTTAATAAATAAATGAATACTAGAAACTCATAGACCGCTAAAATATTGGAGGGAATGTGGAGACGACATAACATTTTTTTTTTATTACTTTATTACTTACATTTCTGAACAGAAAAGTTTTTGTTTTTTTTAATATCGACTTTTCATAATTAAAAAAATAACCAAATAAACTCCTATTTCTCATCTCGCGTGCACGGATCTGCTTGTACAACACTGGAATACATCATATCCGGTCGGCAGGTCGCATACGGTCTAGTCGCAGTAGTTCAAATATTTCAACGGATCCACAGCTCAATTCGGATCCGAATTTTCCGCATACGGAGCTGATCGGAACTCCACGCAGCTCCCGGACTGCTCTCCATTGGAAATGAATGACTTCCGGTCTGTCGCTTGTCGTTTGTCGTGTGCAGTGGAAAGGAGGCTTAAACAGCATCTGTGAATGTGCCGATTAGGGTTGGTTGATGTCGGCCAATTTGGCATTGTACGATGTCTAATGTGAAACATCATGATGGATGATGGCATCGTCGTCATGGGCGGCGGTGAATTATTTATGAATAATTAATAGTGCTGTTGCCTCACAGCAAGAAGGTCGCTGGGTTGTTTGGCATTTCTGGGTGGGGTTTGCTTGTTACCCCTGCATTCATGTTGGTTTCCTCCAGTTGCTCCGGTTTCCCCCACAGTCCAAAGACATGCGGTACAGGTGAATTGGGTTGGATAAATTGTCCGTAGTTTATGAGTGTGAGTGAGTGTGTATAGAGGTTTCCCAGAGATGGGTTGTGGCTGAAAGGGCATCCACTGCCTGATAGATCCAAAATCTCGAAGAGATAGAGACAAGATTAATTAAATATCATGTTTAACAATTATATTAAGACGCCATCCAGCGGGACATCCTTGATGAATTGTATAGATGGAGATCTTTTCAGGAATGCTAGGTAAAACGCCAGTGTGGATGTGGATTTATTAATTTTTTTAAATGCCATTTTAAAACTTAAGACGTATTAGTGTAAATGCAGCCTAAATGGGTATTTTTTGCGAGCGGGTTGCTGTTGCTAAGGGGGCGGAGCAGAGGACCGCAATGTCGGTACAGCATTGTGATGTCTGTCGACCCAACCTTAGTGCCAATGGTGTAAACTTTTCAGGATGCACAGAGGTATGCAATTACATAGCTGGATGGGTAGGTAGGACAGCCTATAATGTTCGGGACGAACATTTTGATTAGACAAACAGTTCTTGGTCCTACACCCTCCACAGATTATTAAAATAAATACATTTTGACCTTCTAATTTAATGATTGCTATCAGGATGAAGAGACTCTCAACTAGCACAATACTTTTTTTTCTGAAGACAATCACTCAATACCATTGATATCATGTTTAAAAACCTGTGTGGTTAACTGAGTTACTGTTGGCCATCTCTCAGCTCAAACCAGGCTAGCCATTGTCTTATGAGCTCTGCAATCAACAAGTTTTTTTACATAAGTATTTACATAGATTACATTCACTGAAAACTTTGAGATGATTTTGTGTGGAAGTCCCAGTAGATCAGCAGTTTCTGAAATAATACAGCCTGACATCAACAATACTGCCACATTCAAAGTCACTTACATTCTTGTTACATTCTTGTTCATTTTTATGCTTGGTTGTGTTAACAAATGTTAATTTAATGCTGAAATTTATTTATTTTATTAAGTTTATTAAATATTAAAATTGATTTAATTTATTTAGAAACTTGCACCAAAATAATTCCACTGTGGATGCCATCTTGTGGTCAGACACAAACCCTCCAATAGTACCTGGATGCTATGATGTCGATGCTTAAATGGGTGCTACCTCAAATAGTGCACTATTTAAGTGTTAAGGGAGAGCCCAAGTCTTGTCCTCCTGACCCTCTATATATGCCTAAATGCACGTTGATGTTATGGTTGTTTAGATGTTTGCATTATTAGCAGTTGATGTGCCTAATAATGTGACCAGGAAAATGTACTGTAATTTTATGAGAATTCATTCATCAGGCACAAAGAAACTGGAGTGCATATCTCCGGATGGGACTCAGAGACGTGTGTTCCAGGATACTTTGAACTATCCGTTCAGTCTAGCCATCCATAACAAACACTTCTATTACACCGACTGGGAGAGGTGAGTCTCTACATAGCAAAATCCCCCGAGTAAATTTTAGATAGTGTTTGGTCCCTCTTTAAATTGAGTTAAAGCTACTCAAGTTCATGAGACAATAAAAGGATTAATTAAGTGATGATTGAGGACTGATGATGAATACTTGCGGTTAACAAACAGAAACACAGAAAAGAAACACAAAACTACAACTGACTTCAGTCACAGCCTTAGATAAAATCAGCTGAAAAATAATACATTGAATCTCTCAAAATCTCTGCAGAGGATCATTAAGAAACCCCACAAACAGTAGCTTTGCTTATTACCAACGCGTTTGCCCTTATTTAAAGAGGGACCAAATACTCTCTGAACTGAGTAAATTTTGTTTAGAGGATTTTGCTGTGTAGCCTAGTTTAATTATGCATGTGACCTTGTATTTTGCTTAATGTCTCTATATTAACAATGAGAATGTCTGTATAGAGATGGGATACTGGTGATTGACCAAAGCACAGGGAAAAACACAGATTATCTGCCCATTCAGCAGTCACACTTATATGGGATCACATTTATCCCATCACAATGTCTATAGGTAGGTATATAAATGAGAATAATATATAACAACAAATGCCTTTATTAATATTCATAAAAGCAGTATTGATTTTCACACTGTCAGTGTCTGTTCTTTCACAGAGACCCTGTGGATCTCTGCAGTTACAGAGACTGTAAGGATTTTTGGAATATAAATAAATGACAACAAAACAGAAACATTGGTTTTGTATTATTAGTTTTGATTTTATTTTCGGTTCATTTCTATATTTTTAATGTGCTCTTGTCCACTAAGTTAGTCTCAAGTAACTTCTGCAGTTGTTTTTTTGTGTTATAGTCTGAAGCAGATTTTTAGAAAAATTTTATCTTTTAATTTTAGGTGTTAAAGTTTTATTAATCTTTTGTGTTTTGTTGTATTGCTTATATCTAAATACTTAATAATTTTCATTCATTCATTTTCTTTTCGGCTTAGTCCTTTTATTAATCTGGGGTCACCACAACAGAATGAACCACTAACTTATCCAGCACGTTTTACGCAGCGGATGCCCTTTCAGCCGCAACCCATCTCTGGGAAACATCCACACACACTAATTCACACACATACACTACAAACAATTTTAGCCTACCCAATTCACCTGTACTGCATGTCTTTGGACTGTGGACATTAATAATTTATAAATTAATAATTTAACTTTTTGAAACTTAATTGTAAGTTTAGTAAATGGAAAATGAAAACTAACAAAATAAAAAAAATAAATAACATGTTTATTTTCGTACTGTTACTATTTTTTTATATATTTTAAATGTACAAGAATTTTGTCAATTTATTTCATTTATTTGCAAAGAAAAATGACAAATATTTTAATAAATTACTTAACATATATATTGTTTATTAATTTCATTTAGAAATGTTTTTGTTTCAATCTCATTCCATTTTATTTGTAATTTAGTTTTATTTATTTGTAATCTTTAATAATCGTAACTTAGATTATTTTAAATTATTTCAGCTTTTGTCCTGTTAACAAAAATAAATAAATAAAAATAAATACTTATTAATGATAGAAGTTTAAAAAACTTGTACAATTTGAAAACAATCTTAAGTTGAAGTTCAATATATTCACCCATAGGTGGCGTCACTAACTAACTTGTGGCCTTTAGTTCAACAAATGGACAAATAAGCCTATTCCTGTTACTTAATTACAAAGGCACAAGATTAAGACCCAGCATGTCTTCAACTTTTTGTAATAGTTATGAAATACAAGTTTTCCCAAATACACACACTAAAATAAGCTGGACAGCAACCACTTGAGGGTGAGTTAATGGTGAATGCATATTCATTTTTGGCACATCCATCTAAAAAAGATTCCTGCCAGGCGTATTGCGCAGCACAAGAGCACTTTGGCCTTTAACCACAATGGAAAATTCCCACTGTCTAAAATAATGTTGACACATAATGGTTAATTTTAGTCTGATCCTCAGTAGGGCCAAACATACAAGGGCTCCAGGAGCAGGCCATCTCTTCCTCAAAACTCCTCATGTCTTCAAGCCGTGATGTTCAGCTTGATTAGAAAACATCCCACCATCACTTTATTCTCACGTCCACGGGAAGGTGTGGAATAATATTTGAGCACTGCCATGGGGTTTCTGTAAACCCACCATCTGATATTGCTAAATAAACAGGATGGGTTTCCCACAAGGCGCAAGAAGCGCCAACAGACGGCAAGACTTCACCGCTGCAGAGGCCAGACCTCCCAGCCTGTGGAGGGCAGCCAAAGCCCGATTCGGTCTCCAGCCTCAGACCCACCGCAGGTCACAGAGTTCACTGTAGTTTACAACAGAGCGTCCGGAGACCCAAAGGTGGCCTGCGGGTCATAGAAGACCACCAGGCACCCACGGTAGCTGTTTGAGCCCATCAGGTGCTGTTTATTGTCTAATCTGACAAGGTATGGGCATAAAAGGATACGTAGTTCATCCAAAATGAAAATTCTGTCATAATTTTCTCACCTGCCACTTGTTTCAGAACTGGTTTAATTTCCTTCTTCTGTTGTACACAAAAACAAGACATTGCGAGGAGTGTTGGAAAAGGGGTAGCATTCGACTCCCATGGTTCTATTTTCCCTCTTCGTCCTGCTATAAATGTCAATGGCTAGGCCTACATACGTGTTTCCTACAAAAATTCAAAGCACGTCATGTTTCCCAACATATACTCCCAATCTATACTGTTTATACTGTGGTCTCAAAAATGCTTTATAATCAAACTCTCATGAATTGAATAGTAGAGTTTGTGCAAATATATTCATGATCAGATGCTAGAATTCTGTATTTAGTATTCCCAAAAAGATGGGTTGTTTCAGCCCAAATTTGGGTCAAACATGAACATCTTTAAAATATTTAACATATTTTCATTGAAACTTTAATCACAACAGTTGGGTTTATCCATATTTTACCCATATTATTTTGCTGTTATGTAGAAATGTGCAGTGAGTTTAACTGGACACTGAATAACTTTCTGTCTCCTTTCTTGTGCAGTATGTGTGGATGGCAAATTTATTTCATGTAGATTGTACTGTACACAGATGTGCGTAAAAAAAACGATACTGTTACATGAAGTGTCGAAGTTCATCTAAAAACAATAACAAGTGAGTAAAAGTATGATATCTATAATTGAAAATAAAGTTAGAGTGTAAAAAGTAAATATAACCATATACTACATGATTCTCAGCTTACTGGCCTATATTGGGCTCTTATCGCTGTTTTTTATTAATCACTACATCAATACTACATTTTTTTAAAATATGTGATCTATCAAACAATTATTTAATTAATTAGTTATTCAATTATATATTTAACAATTTTGCCATTTCAGTTTTGGCTTTGTGGACAAGAAGCGTGTCAGACTACACAAATATTTTAATGCATATCTTGTTTCTAGTCTGAATATAATATATAGTAAACAAAACATATTGTTTGGTTTTTATAAACAATGTCAAAATAAAGAGGTTTTTTTATTAAAAAAATCTGCCACGAGGTAAAGAAATCTTAGGCTATTTCAAAACAAAAACAATATTGTATTGCTTACCCCACTTGCAGATTATTTAGCATGTTAAAAAAAACAAAAAAAACAAAAAAAAAACACTTAATTTAGATTTATTTTTTTATGAAAACAATATTTTAATATTGTAAATGCTTATTGTTCTAAGATTTTTGAGATAATTGGACAACAAATTGAGCATGAAAAGTATGTGTTTACCATTATGTGTGATCTCATTGATTGAGATGGTGGAAAAGTGGCTGACTTCTGGAAACTTACCAAAGCAGTGTGTTTTGTTGAAGACATCTAGTCATGAGAACAAAAATGATAGTTGGTGTAACCTCACAAACTTCTCCTCCAATACCAGTGTTTCATATCATTATCCTTCTCATCCATTTTCACTTGTTCATGTTTTTAAAAAAAATGTGTGTAGAAGATAGTTTTTTGTGTCTTTTGACTTAAAAATCATTACAACACCCCGATCAAATGGATTGTGCCAAATTCAGTTTGATGCTATGTTATTTATTGGAAGTTTATCCAATTTTAATGGTCATAAATGCATGAACGAATCTTTGAATCTTTTGCAGTAATATCTTATCAATAACAACCCAGTTATTATCTCTGGCTCTGTGTAAATGTGATTATATAATACATAATGTATATAATAAATACTATAGTAATAGTACTATATACAGTTGAAGTCAGAATTATTAAACCCCCAGTTTATTTTTTTTCCCAAGTTCTGTTTAATGGAGAGAATTTTTTTCTGAACACAATAGTTTTAATAACTCATCTTTAATAACTGATTTATTTTATCTTTGTCGTGATGACATGATATTTAAATATATAAAGTAGGTTAATTAGGTTAACTAGGCAGGTTAGGGTAATTAGTCAAGTTATTGTATATCGATGGTTTGTTCAGTAGATTATCGAAAAAAATATAGCTTAAAAGGGTTAATAATTTTGTCCTTAAAATGGCTTTGAAAATATTTTAACTGCTTTTATTCTTGCCAAAATAAAACAAATAAGACTTTCCTTAGAAGAAAAAATATTATCAAATGTACTGTTAAAATTTCCTTGCTATAATAAATATTTAAAAAAAGAAAAAAATTAAAAGCAGAAAGGCACCCTCTAGTGCAGTGGTTCTCAAACTGTGGTACGTGTACCACTAGTGGTACGCAGGCTTCCTTCTAGTGGTACGCAGAGGAATCCTACATGTCATGTACAAGCAACATATGTTTAAAAATTAATCAAAAATGGTTTGAATATGAATATGATGACATATAGCCTATTTATGAGGTCCAAGCAACATTTCCAGGTTTTGATAAATAGGCTACTATAGGTTAACACTTTACATTTAAGTACAGCAGTTTTTTTTTTCTTTTCTTTTTAAGGACAGTAACCTACCATTTTTATTGAACCTTTAAAAGCACATTAATTTAAACGTTGACATTATATTTTGTTTGTTTGTTTCTTTGTTTACATATAAGCAGAGTACAGTCTTAATGTTGATATTTATAATGTTTAAAGTGGCTGATAATAATAAATATTCTTAATAATAGTAGTTAATTTACCACGTTTTTAAACTGTGCAGAGCTGTAGCTGTTTTACTGGGCCTACTACGCTATTGTATTTCAATACTGGTCATTATAGTGGTACTTGGAGGAACAATCTTTTCTGAGGTGGTACTTGATGGAAAAAGTTTGAGAATTACTGCTCTAGTGGATTTGTGAAAACAAATACTGCAAAAAGCCATTTACTTTTTTCCCAATCCACATACTATCCATCCTAAATAGTATTTGAAAATAGAATTAGTATTTCCCAAACCATAGTAGAAGCATCCATATTCTAACTGGTGATATTGCCAACAATACATTGCACGTTGGATGCGAATGTATTAAAACTACAAACGCATGTGAAAAGTGTAAATAAACTACAAACATTATGGACGAGCGAGACCAACCGTCAAGTAGTGAGGCTTCGGTAGATGTTTGAACGACTGTTCGTCAATATCTAGCCCACTGGAAAATATTTAAATCGCTGTGGTATATTTCATCTGCAACAATACTAAACTTATAAAGAAGCGTTTGGAAGTCTGAATGCATAGTTACCCAAAGACCTGAGGAGATTTCTCTGCATGATAGATTCTTGAATTGGAAGATTAACCTGCGACTGCTTCTCC